AGAGCATTTTGGGAACTTTCCTCTGGATTATACATTAACTGCTCTGTTGCCTGATTATCAGGAATGGGAGTTGAGATACCTGGACTTGCCATTTTTCTTGTTTCTCCAGCTTGTTCTGCCCATTTGGTATGAAAGCAAAACCAATTTCAAGCTAGAACACTATTTTAAGGCAACCAGAACCCTGTAGTTGCACAGATTTTTTGACACAGTCAAACTGAGTACAGATACAATCTAGTTTGATGGAAACAATCTAGTTCAACAACAAACAACTATGGATTAATGGACTAAAAACGTCAAAGTAGGAGTCAGGAGACCAGAAATTAACAGGTTAAGGGAGAACTATGGGCAGAAAATAAGATTAGAAGAATGTGAGGAGGAAAGAGGAGAGAGGGAATTTAACCAAGGTTAAATTCAGAGAGAGGAAACAGATATAAGGAATAGAGGAGAGAGATAAAGAAACAAGGAAAAATTAAAATTAAAAATTAAAAAATGAAACTTAAAATTTCATAAATATAAAGAAATACTACTATTAAAGGAGTTAAGGCTGAGAGTTTTTAAATTCAGCAATCAATTTCTAAATCAGGTATGCTCACAATGAAGGATAAAGTCTAATAATCGAAGATGGGTATATATCTGGGGATGAGCAAAACAGCAATTCATGCAAAAATAACCCAAAAAAGACCAAAAGGTAAAAGAGTAAAAAGTTTCTCACACACACACACACACACACACACACACACACACACAATAAAAATGGTGAAACAAGTTGTTTTTTTTTTTTTAATTTTAAAAAATTAGGTAGAAAAAAAGAGTTCTTCGATTTTGGGGGGAGGGAGTTGGATCTTGTGTCTCTCCTGTGTTTTTAACCAGTCTCAGTGGAGTCTCTGGTTTGCTTGTGCTGTTTGGTTTTCTTGTGGCTTGGTTTAAGTCAGTTTGAGCATACAGCTCTGCCTTACCTGGAACTTTACGACCTTCCTCCCAGGCTAGTTCAGTGGGAGGGAGATCTACTTTGAGTATCACAAAAGAGGGAGATGGCTGTTTCCTCTAGCTTGGAGTTGCTGTGATGGGGCTAAGTTGTGGATAGGTTGAGGCCTGTCAGCAATCAGTAGCTTTACCCTGATGTGCTAGCTCCTGAGAGAGCTAGCCTGGAGAGAGCCCAGCCTGGAGACTTTTGTTTACTGAGTTTCAACTGTTTTTCTTTTACTCCTCCTGCTGCTGGGTCTGCTGCCTAGGCCACAGTGGGGAGGGGCGGCCTCTGGCTCTGTTAACCCAGTGTAGACAGTCACTCCTCCATGGGTGGAGCTTCCTCCGCCTGGGAAGGGCAACTTTCCCCTGGGTGGAGCTGAACCAGGCATGTCAGGTTTCTGTGACAGGTTGAATGGCTCCTATTGTTTTCTTCCAAGGCCTGAGTTGTGCTAGCTGCTCTGGCTGGGTCTTTGTCTGTATCAAAGATGGAGCTCTTTTCTGGTGGTGGTGGAAGGGCTACGTTACCACCACTGTTCCATGAGAAGGAAGGAGGATGTCTTGGAGTACTCACGCCTATCCCTTGGTTTCCTGGTCGTCCATGGTCTGCAACTGTCTGTGGTCAGCCTGGTGAAAATTCCTGCTCTTTTGTCAGTTTTTGCTGGTGGCAAGTAGAATCTGCTCGCACACAGCCACTGGTGCCTTTGTTCTGGGCTCTTCTCTGTCAATATGGTGGCCATAGCAACAGCCGCTGCCATGGACATTAGCAAGTGCACAGATCTATCTCTTTAACCAAGCTGCCTGGATTTTTCCTCTCTGTCCAAACTCTCTGTACTATGATGGCTAACATTTGGTGTGACTCTCTAGCGTAGGACTTTTCACTTGTACACTAAAACTGCTTTCTATGCAATAGCTTGATTAGCCCCCAGCTTCTCCTCTGCCAGCTTCCTCTGGATCCCATGTCTGCATTTTCTGACCTGCATCTCTCCTTTTCCAACTGCTTTCACAAATTATCAATATGACAACTAAGGCACACAATAATGGAGTTTCAACATAATGTTGATTGGATATACTGACAATTTGGTACTAGGAAAAGGAAGAAACTATAATGTAATTCCTGAAAAACCAAACACCAAGGGGAAAGGAGTCAACATTTCACTAGCAACATTCTTCTCTTTTGATGGAACTTTGAAAAAGCCAATATAAGTAATTGAAAAAAACAAGTCAACATTTAATGTGCTAATTGGAATATATGATTGTTATTTTTTCTAGCTACTGATAATAAACCACACTTTCTATTTCCTAAATCTGCTATACTGCAATCTTTGTACGAGTTTAACAGGCTGTTAGGATGATTCATTTTATAAAGCAAGAAATCTAGAAACTAGCAAGAAATGTATGAGTTTTGCTTGGTGACACAGTCACACAAAAGGTGATATGGATAACCATGCCAGGCAACAGACTGTGTGCCGAGTTCAGGATTTGCTGCTTCTTCCCTCCAGCCTATCCTTATTCCCTTATGCCTATCCTGTTTGTTTGCGCTTCTTGCACAGTAACTGACTTCTGTTTCTCTATTTTATAGCATTCAATTAAAATGGCGTCTGCTGGGGACTTTCAGATTCAGGTAATTTATAAGAGTGCATATACCATATGGAAAAAAATAACACTATTCTTTCAGTCCTGAGAGAGATCTCTTTTTAGCCCCAGATGGATCAGCTTGTGGAAAAAATGCTGCCTTTAACAGAAGGTGTGAAAGGACACCTCATTTTCCCATCTCAGGCAGCTGCTAGGCAAATTTGAGGTTCACTCATCAAAGTTTACTTCATTTTTTCTCCCAGATATAGGCACATTGGACCCTAGTGGATGCCTGCACATCAACTCAGCAATTTGGTAGCAGATGAGCTATAAATACCCATGTTTTCTACAATAAACATAATTAAATAGTTTAAAGCAAGACCTATTTCTCCTCTGCTATTGAGCAAGGTGAGAAAAAGGGATCTTCAGTCAAAACAGGTTTATGAATGTTTTCAGAGAGATAGGAATACACTAACATGTTCGTTTCCACTGAGAACAGTGCCATCTGCTTGAAGGCACCAGAGAAAAGTCAGGCTAAGCTCCTGGGTCATATGGTAGCCCCCAATCTGCTCCTTGTTTTTTAAAGGTTCTTTGGCAAAAGTAAATATGAGAAACCAGAATTTATGCTTAATCTTCAGAATTCATAACATTAATGCATACTTGGTGGATCAATTTTTCTGACTTTTTCTAAGGAAAAACTTCCAAAGCATGCTTAAGAGATTCTTACTTTGTCTTTTATAATTAATGGCTACCAAGTTTACCAGAAATTATCAAGAATGGGAAACTGTTTTGGTGCCAAAGGCCATTTGGATATTTACAATATCATTAAGAGCCATACAAAATGAACAGGCCGATGATAAGCAAGTAGGTCTGTACTATTGCTTCTCCAATGATTCTGCAGGCCTGCCTATAAGGCCCTACGGGCCAGATGTTCCCCATCCAATTTAAGCAATGGCACAGATCCTTGCATTAATGGCAAACCAAATAAAGCGGGAAAGTTTTTGGACTGTAATCCTAGCTACTTGAAGGTGGTGATAAGGAGGACTGCGGTTCTAAGCCAGCCTGGGTGAAAAGTTAGTGAGAGAGGTAAAGTGAGAAAAATAAGTCAAAAATGGTGGCAATATGTGTATAATCCCAGCTACATGGGAGGCCACAGGTAGGAGGGTCTCAGTTCAAAGCCAGCCTGAAACAAAATGAAAGAATACATCAGAGAAATAACTGAAGTTTAAAAAAGGCTGGGGGCAGCTCAAGTAGTAGAGTGCCTGCCTAGCAAATGTGATGCCCTTAGTTCAAGCTAGAACTTTGAACAGAGAACAGATAGATGTAGATATAAATCAATGTATCTATCTGCACACATACTGTCTAGTACATTTTATCTCAGTATCTCATTCATTCATTTGCTTCCTTGTTTATTAGGAATTTGGAAGCTCAATGTCCCAGTGAGATTATGACACCCTGAGAAATCCTTTGTGCTTTGTTGATTATATCACCTATGGTTACTTGCCAACATTGTTCAAAATGGCTCTTTGGGTACTATGACCCAAAGATGTTCTTGAGGCATCAAGAGCTGTGGAGGCTTAATAAAATGGACTCTTAACTGAACAATGCATTGCTTAGCTCCAAGGGGTTGGAAAGAAACTCTGTTGTCTTCACTATCAATGTCATTTGATGTATGGAAGAATATGTTTTTGCTAAAGGCTCAGAGAAAATCAGGCTATGATCTAAATGTGCATGTTACACATGCAAACATTCTAATGAGACATGGATTTACAGAATCACAGTGGTTCCATAATAGCTCTAAGGCTTGGCTTGCTGCGATAGAAGCAACAATTATAAAGTGAGAAAGACTTCTGACAAGCTGAGATGTAATTTAGTAGGAACAGATCCCAACAATGACAGTTATGCCAATTATATTCACTACACTCATTTTTAAATCTACAGGAAGAAATATATAACATTTCAAAAGAAATATACCCTGTTGGCCATTTGCTGTAGAATGTTTAAAAGAAAACAGAACTCCATGCACAAATCAGATGTGCTTTGGTAAAAGCTTTGCATTAAGCCAGCTCTTTCCACTTGATGCAGCCCTCAGCTTTAAGTCACAATGGACACAAAGTAAAGCAGGACATGAAGCAGAGAAACACGATTCAGATGGGATAGGTAAAATAGTCATTAAGAGCCAAACACAACTATGCAAAGAAAACAAGCTAAAACATCCCTTGGAGAACTTGTACAAGCTAGGATGTATTATTTAACCAGCCATTTGGAACCTTGCACACAGAACTTTAGATTACAAACTTTCAGCACTGCTTTCATTGTCTAAATAGGTGATGCTGGCAGCACCATCAAATTATATGACAGAGCTAAAAAGGGAATTAAATACAATCCAACATTTTACAACTCTAGGACTTCTCGCAGGAAATATTATACTGGTTTATATTTATAAAAAGAGAAGGGATACATTTAGAGAATAAACAAACTTTATTTTATAACAGTATTACAGAAAGCAAAATATCATTTAATACAACTTGAAGCGGCTATAAATCTAATATGGCATTGTAACTATACATAGGGTCAAAAGCAAGGGGAAAAATAATTCAATACAGTTAATAGTAAGTTCCTATCATGTCTCTGGTGTCAGCTTTAAACAGCATCACTTTCTTAGACTAACAAAAATCCCACCATAACCCCCTATTCCTCTCCTCTCCTCAGTATCCTCAAAACCAAGCTATCTGAAAGAGATAGACCTGCTCAGTAACAGGAGGTCAGTTTTACATATAGACAAGGCTTAATACAAAGCAGGTTTTCTACCCAATGTTCAAATAATGGAAAGTACTGAAATTCGGAAGTGTTAAGAAAGAAAGCACTAAGGTTTTAAGCTGCCGGAACATTTTAGTAGAAGGGAGGGCAGTTTCTCTTTTCCTCCCTCCTATTCTGGAATGCTGTGAACGAGAGTGTGAGTACTGGCACTGTGGTCTGATAAAGTCCTTGAACACAGTGCATGGTCATCAGCTTCATAATTCTCCAGTCTGGAGATTCTCTGACTCTCTACTGAAAGCAAAAAGTCAGAGGACTGGAAAGTCAAAAGGGTTCAATATAAAAAATATTCCTAGTGAAATTTTCAAAGATTAGAAAAATTTAAAGATGTAAGAAATGCTTTTAATTGGTATTAATATTTTCTTATACAGTATATTTACTGTAATCTGAAAACTCTGTAAATATTTACTGTAAGAATTCAATGGGAAAAGATGGAACAAGGAAAACCACTCTTTTAATTAGTCACAGAGGTTCCTTTCCGCATAACAGCACCTGTTCAAGTGAACAGCACCTCACCAGCCTGGGCTGGCTTTGTTCACTGTCATCGGGGTAAATGAGTCATAAAAAGCAGGTGGTTGTACACAAGGTAAAGAGGAAATAAAAACAAAATCCCTCAATTAAAAAAAAGTAAGAAACAAGGATATTAAGTGGTTATAAAACAAAATAACATATTAAAAATGCACAAGAATAGTATAGACCAGAGCTGTTAAGGTAAGGTTTGGTGTTGGCATTTTAATTCTTCAGGCTCCTGGTCATTGTTACCAGTTGTAGCACAAATTTGCTTGAGTAGTGATGTGGCAATTAAGACTTGGAATGGTCAAAATTCTTCAGGTTCAACAAGTTAAATGTTGTTTATAAAATGATTTTCTAGGAGAGGAAAAAAAGAGACAAGGTTTAAATATTTCGAAGAAAAGGGTTTGAAAAAAATTAATGTTTCGAACTAAACAATCAACAGTTATATGCACATAGGTCTACAGTAAATAATGCACTACCAAAAACCAAGAAAGAAAAGATATTCCAAACTTCAGAGGATTGACAAATACATTGAAACAGAAAAGATATTCCAAACTTCAGAGGATTGACAAATACATTGAAACTAGCAAATAAGTACACTAAGATTTAATTAACACAAATCCAAAACAATTTATACAGTAATGTGTGCTCCTTAGTACCTAGTTTTGCCTTCTGCAGTTTCAGTTATTTGTAGACAATCCTAGGCCAAAACTATTACATGGGAAATTCCAGAAATAAACATCTGTTAAGTTTTAAATTGACTTCTGTGAGTACCATGATGAAATCACACCCGATCCCACCCAGTGCTGGCATCATCCTCTGTCCAGTGTATACATGCTGCATATGCTGTCTTCCCACGGGTCACTTGAAGCTGTCTCAAGTTACCAGGTCAGTTGTCACAGTAGTACAGCACCTCCCTTTCAAGGAAACTTTATTTTCCTAGTAATATCCCCCAAGACAGAGTTCTGATGCTGGCAATTCAGATATCCCACAGAGAAGCTCTGAAGTGCTTTTCTAAATAAAAAAGGAATGGGAGGAAACTATATATAGGATCAGTAGTATCCAGTTTAGAGTATCCTTCAGTCTTGGAACATATTCACCTTGGGTAAGAGAGATTACAATAAGAAAACTAAGCCAAGGGCTGGGGGTGTGGCTCAAGAGGGAAAGTGCCTACATAGCAAGCAAGCAAGACAACCAACAATATAAACTCAGGGAGAAAAACCAAAGTGCATTTTTACTTCACTACAATGATCAGAAAAGGGTGGTTTGTGGGAAAGGGGGAGATGGAGGTAAAAAGCATACAGTATTATGATACTAAAATCAATGGAAAGATGTTACATGGAGGGGATTTAAGACAGAAATAGAGAGAAAGAAGGTGGTGGTGGTGCTGGTGGTTCACACCTCTAATCCTAGCTACTCAGGATGATGAAATATGTGGATGAAGTTCGAAACCAACCTAATCAGCAAAAAGCTCCAAGTGGAGGCATGGCTCAAGTAGTAGAATGCCAGCCATGTTTTGTTTTTTTTTGGTCGGTCGTGGGGCTTGAACTCTGGGCTTGGGCGCTGTTCCTGCTGCACTCTTCAGCTCATGGCGAGCGCTCTACCACTTGAGCCACAGCACCACTTCCAGTTTTCTAGTGGTTTATTGGCGATAAGAGTCTCATGGACTTTCCTGCCCGGGCTGGCTGTCAACTGCGATCCTCAGATCTCAGCCTCCTGAGTAGCTAGGATTGCAGGTGTTGAGCCACCAGTGCCTGATGATATGTTTTTTTGTTTTGTTTTTTTTTAAGCCAAGTGAAAATAAGACCCTTAGTTTAAGCCCCAGTAATGGTACAAAAAATATAAAAGAGGTATTATTATATAGTTAAAGTGAGTAACAGATGGTAATGCAAGAAATATTATATTTATTCTTTGACTAAATTGAAAGAGCATCTACACAAAAATAGGTAGCAGTCTACTGTAGTGATCCATTCTATAATGCAAGAGCCAGAGCGAGGCGATGGGCTTGGCAGTTCATATAGGGCACAGCCCAGGAAAGGTGATTGCAATGGTTTCTCCCTGGCTTCTGAGGATGTCTTTTTTTGTGTCCTGATTCTTATTTTTAACACATTGCTGTGGCTGCAGTGTGGTAAATGGCAGAAACCCTAGTTAGGAGCCTGGATGAAGAAATAGCAAACGTTAGGTGCTATCACTAAATTCAAGGACTGAGGTTTGAGTGGCTGCCACAGAAATGAGACAGCTGAGAGGCACAGCTGTAGAGAAGTTGTCATATGGTGATCAAAAAGGAGTATCAGAGATGATAATGAAGTTCAGATTCTACAACATCAGAAAAAAAGAACAATGGGCTCATTAGGACTGCAGTGTAGTTTTGGAGGGAGCACAAAGAGATCTAAGTAAAATGAAATCTAAATTTCATGACAGTATAAGAAAAAAATCGAAGAGAGTCTTTCAAGGGAAGCCCATAATCAAGGGAAGCCCATAATCAAGGGCATATAGACAAGAAAAAGGAGTGAAATATAAGAACAGTGTGCTGTTCCTGTAAGAGAAAAGAATTTCAGAGAGTTGACAATTTTAAGTAATTACAGAGTTCAGTGGAGAGTGGTAATTAATGTCCTATTCAAAAGACATTGATCTCAGAGTCAATTTGAGGGTACAGTCTTTTGGCTAGATAAAATAGGTCATATTTTTTAAAGGGGGGTGAAGAAAGATCTTCCCCATCACTTAGATGTATCACAGATAATACAGCATCGTGATTATTCAGGACAGACTGATTAATCAGATTCATTGCTTCCAATCCTGTTTTCTGCCTTAGATGATTTCATTACTCATTAGTAATTCTGCTTGATCCTAGGCAGAAGGAAATCAATGGAGAGAAAACAAACCATTTTTTAGGATAGCAATTAGGAAGAGAAATTTTAGGGGGGGGTGGGTTGAGAGGAAATGGATAAAGCTATCAATCAAATAGTATTAGGAAGTATCTGAGACCTTCAGTCAGCTATTGGTCCTAGTTCTTCAAGAACTAGTAGTTTTGCTCTTAGTGAATATGTACCACATATTTAACAAACCTGGCATTTTGCCTTTCTTATATTAAAAAAAATAGAACCCTGACCTACTGAAATAATAGCCTGGAAATAGTAGATTAAATATGTGACTAAGATAAAAGCAAAATAAAGGCCATGAGCTGAAAGCCCAGAGAACATGGTTTAAGATTCTATTCTCCAATTTCTCTAGGCTCTGTCACTTTATTTCTTTAAATCTGTTTACATCAAAAATAAACTTTGAAATGAGTCATAAGTTTGTAAAGGAAAGCTAAAATTATTTGTTTCTAAGTTATTATAGGAAACTAAGGAACACACAAGAAATTAAAGATAAATCTTGACCTAAAAAGAAAAACCTTCAAATTTGATGACCTAAATATAAAGGCACAGTTACCCATTTAAACTCAAATTTCATTGCATCCATTTATTCACTGTAAACTCTAGTAAATTCTAGAAAGTATGCTTGTTTTCTGACAATATTACAAATAATAACTTGATGTGCCTTAGTATTCTAAGCAGTTTTCAGAATCAAATTAATAACTTTAATTTTAAGGATAAATGTATTAGTTTCTCATTTTTAAAAAAAAACAGTAAGTAAACTGTATGCTGTATTCAGAATTAGTGAAGAATCAGAACAGAATATGTGGACTTCTTATTGCTCTGGATAAATAAGGAGTAACTTACTGCATGAAGCTGTACGTTTTGTTTTGTCTTGGTGGTACTGGGGTTTTAATTCAGGGACTTGGACTTGCTGGGCAAGTGATCCACTACTGAGCTATGCCTCTAGCCCTTTTTGCTCTCAGCCATTTCTGCTTCAGTTTGCTAAGGCTAGTCCTGGATCCAGTAGTATCACAATTGTACTACCTCTACCTCCTGAGAGGCTGGAACTACAAGCATATGTTACTGCACCTTGTTTGTCTGTTGCCTTTCAATTAACAAACCAAAACATTCAATCTCTCTCTCTGCCTCCTAAGTATCTAGGATTATAAGTGTACACCACCCTTGTATTAAGTTTTGTTATTTATACATAACATAGTATTTTTATTCTTCTTGCATTAAAACATAGACACGTTTTAAAGTACTAAACATATAGCTCTTAAACTGGGTAGGAAAAAAGATAGAAGGATTACTCATGTCTTTGACACACAAACATTAAGATGCTTTAAGTTTTTCTGTCCTTTTTTGGGATCTATAATATTTGGCAACCTTTTTATGGTAGGTTTTGGATCCAATTAATTGATCACATATCCCAACCACACACTGATTTTCAGGTTAAGTGCTACAAACATTTCAAGAGACTTTCTTTTTCCTTAATTCTATCCCATAATATAGAAGTCTGGACATCTTTGTCAATATGAACTGAAGGAATTATAAGCAATAACACAACATTTCACATACACATCATTTCACATACAACATTGTAAGGTTCCCTTTGAGCTTCCACAAGGTCACACTGTTAAATATGGATTATACATAATAGGCCAGAATTGTGGCTAAATGAACAAAAATATTCTGGACTTTACAATGCCACTCAGTCTAGCCACTAAAGTCCTACTCCCAGCATGTGTCTTCTTTGGGACAATGTGGGAATAGATCAATGTGGCTAAATTGCATCTAATCAAAATCTAGTGCTATGCCATACAAGGGCATTTACTGGTTGAATACTTGGCATGAAAGTTCAGAGAATTCTCTTTCATAGGGTTCCTGATAAGCAGGATTCCTTTGAAAACCAAATGGTATGTGCTTCTCTATAAAGGAAGAGTACTGTCCCCCAGGGTCAATGTGTATATGAACAGCTTGTGATTAGTTTGGGCCAGCACATTAGTTCAGCCAGCATATCAAGATGGTTAGACAGTTAACGCTAATTTCCTTTTTGACTTCTGAGTTCCTATTTCTCAACCCTGAACAACTTTGACTTTGAAATGTTGGTCTGAACACAGTACCATTTTGTTTAGAAATGGTAGTGTTCCTGTATGCACAATACACAGAAAGTAATGTTTCTAATTTAGAGTTTTCTACTAGGGTTTGGGGGCTAGGATTCTAGGTACAACTAGACAGTTTACGAGATTTTTAATAACACTGACACTACCCTCTATCTGCTCCATAAAACCTACTTCTCTCCATACTCTCAGATGGACACAGAACTGACAGAAAACAAAAGGTTTGGTTCACTGTTTGGGGATTCTTGAAAACTGCCTGTAAGCTCATTGTTTTTAGTTACTTTAGTCCTGACCACCTGAAGGAGACTGCTTCACCAATCCCAAAGATCAGGCTCATTCTCTACGAGGTGTTAATAAACATAATTTCCTGGAGCTGTCTTTCCTCACAGGTTTTGTGGCCTTCTTTTCTCACCCATCATCTATAAGGGCTATATTTAACTCTGAAACTTACAAGAAAGCTTATAATTTGCCTTGTAAATGAATTCTTCTGTAAATTCTGTTACTAACCCTAGCTTGCAGATGACAACACTGAGGCAGAGAAAAATAATCCACCCAGATCACGTAACTAGGAAGTCAAGTTCATGCTGCTGCATTCCCTCAACCATGTGCTATTATACTTCCAATCAGGGGTAGGTGTGTGTGTGTGTGTGTGTGTGTGTGTGCACGCGCGTGCATGTGCGTGCGCATGGTGCACACACCAGACAGACAGAAACATAGACAAAGTATTTCTTACATATTCACTTAAAAATAAAAAAGTTTTCTCCAGAATTTGTATGGCAGTTTGGTCTCTCCCACAGTTCATAGAAAAAAAAACCACTTATATATACACAATGGAATTCTATGCCTCCATCAGAAAGAATGACATTGCCCCATTTGTTAGGAAATGGAAAGACTTGGAAAAAATTATATTAAGCGAAGTAAGCCAGGCCCAAAGAAACATAGGCCCCATGGTTTCCCTTATTTGCAATATCTAGTATATGTATGAGTCAAGCAGAAAAGGTCAGATAATGTGATGTTAGGAAAATGAACCCTTAGATATGTATTTTAATGTTTTTTTTCTTTCATGCATGTGTTCCTAACGCATTTATAAGATTATTTCTTTGTTGCTTTGTATGTCCCTCCCCCACAGTATAACTCCTGCTTTCACTATATTTGATGTCAGTATATTGTGGAGGAGATGAGGAAAAACAAGTTGTTTAAGGATACAGGTGGACCTGTTGCAACAATGAGAAGTACAAGTTGTCATGTCCATAACGAGCTTTACAATGTCAGTGGGGGGGGGGGGGGGGAGAAGGATTGGGACTGGGCGGGGAGAGGGGAGGCTGGGAAGGGATGTGAAGGGTAAACAAAGGAGGAGACTGCAATGCTTGGTAAGAAATGTACGCATTATCCTGCCCATGTAATTGTAACCCCTCTGTACAGTATGTTCATAAATAAAATAAAATAAATTAAAAAAAAAGAAATGTACTCATTTTCTTGCCCATGTAATTGTAACCCCTCTGTACAGTATTTTCACAATAAAAAAAAGAAAAAAGTGAAAAAGAAAAAAAAAAACCACTGTTCCTTAAGCAGAAAAAAAGAAACCCCTGTATTTCATAATTCAAATAATAGATGCAATCAAGAACTCCTTTGCTTAAGCCAGAAACCTGGGTGTGATGTGTGATTCTGTTCTTCCTTATTCCCTTTACTTCCATTCCCATTACTCTCTAGAGTGCCCTGTGATTTAGCCATACCTGATCCTAAACTACTAGATTCAGTGTTCCTGACCCTGCCTAGAACTATAACAGAACTATCTCCTACATATCTTGAAGCTTCATGAAGGTTTCCATGAATGTTCTCTATGAGAAAACATCTCTGACATCCTATTCTAATTTAGATATCTCTCCTTTTTGTTTTCACTCCAGATTCAGAGCACAGTACAAAAGCTAAAACTATTCTGCTACTATCAATTTATTGTTCTTGATAAAAAAAAAAAGCCTTGTTATTTCTATGATAAAACAGTAGCTGAACCCAATAAGCATTCCACGCATACTTATATAATGAACAAATATGGATAAGACAAGTGAATGGATAAGTAGCTGCTCCTTCATCCTGCTGACCTCTGGCTGCTCACTGTTCTAGATGAAAAGTAGGCTATTCATCTTCTACGTGGGCATCAGTGGTTACTACAGAAGTTGGGAGGCTACCTGAAGTTCAGCTAAGTTTAGATCTCCCATAATGTCAACTAAAGTGGAGTTATAAGCACACTCCTATGCTGTGGCTCATTCTTTCTGACACCACACAGAACACACCACACCAAAGCATGTACACCACTCTTCCTATTAGGGCAATGTGAAAATGTTATTGCAAGCAATGTAAGGCTGCTAATGTTTTGTGCTCATGTAGGGGCAAGTATGTTTGATATAAATGTATTTACATCAAATATATATATATATATATATATATATATATATAAAAACGTTCATATATCAAAATGTATTTGATATAAACTGATGGGAGGAAACAGTCTTGAAAGAATATTTTTAAAAGCCACAAAGATTGAGTGGAGTGCTTCTGAAGTGCTTCTGTGAAGTGTTTGTTTCTTTTTAACAGTGTTTTCAACAGAGCTCACAGCCTCAAAGTTAAGAAAGGCAGATGTGGGAGGTTCTTCCTCCATAGATTGTTCTCTAACAGTCTTTGTCCTCTCTACTTCCACTTTCAATGTTTGACCAAAAGCTTAGGGTTATTCCAAAGAGTGAGGTCAAGTTAGGAGGGCAGTTTTACCTGCCTGAGAACGAAAGTAACAAATACATGGTAAATAGCTATTCTTTTCTAACTTTCAGACACTGTCCTGGTTCTGCCCTTTGCCTTGGTTTACCCGATGCCTCTTTGGGATCCTAGCAAGGAAGCCATAGACATAAGACATAATCTTCCTAGCTCTAACGGTTGCAAAAGAAAATTTTTAAGAGAGACTGTAGCTAGTGTAGGGGTAGACATAATAAAATGACTTTGGGACTCTGAGGTGATCTTAGTCTTCAAACTCTGACTTTTTCCATAAACTGATAAACTGTATTTGTTTATACATCACCATATTGAATCTTTTATAAAAGTAATTTTACCATATATCCTTCATGATAAGACTGGCTTTTCAAAACCTATGGGACAATAAAGATTTAAACTCTTGATTTTATTATTCTTTAGACATCACATGAAAGCATTATATTAACTAATGCCCTACTATTAACTGTTAAGATTGCTTCAAAAATTTGCTAATATTTATAAAAATGTGACAAATATCCTGTAGGTTAATCTTTATGAATATCTCTAAGATAAATTCTTAAAAGTAGTTTAAATATAGACATGTTTTAAGATAAGTGCTTTGAAACTTGTTTTGTCAAACTTTTCTAGGAAATATTAACTTATATAGCAGTATGTAAGTATACTTTTTTCCTATAACTTTCCCAACATTGAACAAAAATAGAAGTTTTGCCAAATTTACAGGTGAAAACTGGTCCATGAATTTTTATTCTGTATTGATTTGAGTAATAATAAAACTAGTTTTATTTACGTTTTTATATAGTTTTCATGTTTTAACTGCTCAATTCTACCCCTTTTATAACTAAAATCTCTAAGTTTTCAGCTTTTACATAATCAAAACAGCCTAGTCCTTTCTAGTTTACTCTTTCACACGAGTCTTTTTTTTTTTTTTTTTAATTTTATTTGAGAACATACTGTACAGAGGGGTTACAATTACATGGGCAGGATAATGCATACATTTCTTACCAAGCATTGCAGCCTCCTCCTTTGTTTACCCTTCACCTCCCTTCCCAGCCTCCCCTCTCCCTCCCAACCAATCATACCCCCCCTCCCCCCCCCCCCACCGACATTGTAAAGCTGGTTTTGACATGACATTTTGTACTTCTCATTGTTGCAACAGGTCCACCTGAATCCTTAAACGACTTGTTTGTCCCCATCTCCTCCACATGTTATACTGACATCAAATATAGTGAAAGCGGGGGTTACACTGTGGGGGAGGGACATACAAAGCAACAAAGAAATAATCTTATAAATGCGTTAGAAACACATGCATGAAAGAAACAAAAACATTAAAATACATATTTGAGGTTTTGTTTTCCTAACATCACATTATCTGACTTTTTCCGCTTGACTCATACCTATACTAGATATTGCAAATAAGGGAAACCATGGGACCTATGTTTCTTTGGGCCTGGCTTACTTCACTTAATATAATTTTTTCCAAGCCTTTCCATTTCCTAACAAATGGGGAAATGTCATTCTTTCTGATGGAGGCATAGAATTCCATTCACACGAGTCTTAATGTCTGTAATTTTTTAAATTTTTATTCATCTCCTTAGTACCCCTGCTACTAAAAATCTCTCACATGAGAGTACCTTCCTCAAAGGATCATTGTGAACATTAATATACTGTAATATGCGTAAGAGTGAGTAAATGTCTGTTATCAGCAGCCTCTAAATAGAGTGTAGCTACTGACATTACATACCGAATAGGCCATAGAGTTTATAATTACTTATATAGACCTGAACAGATGAACCTTGGGATAATAATCATTTGGAAGAATCGCTGTAGAAAAGTATCACTATAGAAAATAGTCACAGGATCACAGGAAGGTGTAAGTAACAAAGGCTCTCTTACCTTTATTCTTCCCCTTCCTCTGCCAATTCTGTTTCTTTGTGCACTACCACTCTTGTGACTGACATGTCAGGGTGCTGTTCTTTGGCCTCCCTAATTGCCTGAGCCAGTGCCTAGTAGGGTCAGAAGAGAAAACAGCATGAGCTGAGGAATAGGCAGGCAAGACACTTACACATCCAACCAGCTGGCTTTATTTATTAAGCCTCTCTGATGTGTGGAAATACTTTTTTGGTCTCACTAAATGAAAGTTTTATTAAGATGTGTTTGGATATAGGCTAGGGGGTGAAAAGATGTCAATGGCATTAGGGTTACCACGTAATTGACATCAGTTTTGTTTTGTGGGTCTTGGGGCTTGACATCATTTGTGGGGCCTGGGCACTGTCTCTGAGCTTACATTCTAAGCTTCTGGTTACACATACAGGGGAAGCCATCTGACAATTACATCTGAAAAAGTGCTCTCTTTAGGCAAATACCTGAACTGAGCTGTTCAAGAACTGAAAGACATTACACAAAGCAATTATGAATCTTTACATCAACAGTGAGGCTCTATAACAGCAAAACAGCATCATGGATTTTTTCATGAGTTGGGGATATTATTAGCTTAATCTTTATTTTTCAGATTGTTATTTATATTTGCTTTTCCCAGGCAGTACTACCTAAATTTGAGTTTCTAGGTAAAGCTGTCAAAAAGCCAAATAAAACATATACAATAAAACCTGTAAAAAATCCTGCTGGAAAAGCAACATTCTACAGCCTGAAAGAGCATGGGTTCAGTGGAGAGAGTTGTACTTCCACCCATGCCAGTGAAAGAGAGCTCCTGGTTAGCACACTATAGAAACCTCGTCCTAGTACACAGAAGCAGAATTGTTCTTCTCTGTGGGAAGTTGAATGCTTTGTTTCTACATAGGTAATTCTTTTTCCAAGATAAGCTTACTAGTCACTTCCTAAAATCCCCAGACCCAAGAGATAGTACAAGAAAAACAAAGGAGGGGGTAACAAGGCTCAACAAGAACTGTACTCAATACCTTACTCATGTAACTGTAACCCCTCTGTATAGCATCTTCACAATAAAAAAATTTTTTAAAGAATCCCCAGACCTAAGTTAAAATTCAGAGTTAGAACAACTCCAACTTCTAAGAACTCTTAAAGAATTTTTAAAACTCATTACTAAATATGTTAATAAAATCATGCTTTTCAAAGGTAAAAAAAATGAAAACTGATTTTCTTTTTAGTTACAAAGAAATTCTATTTTTCTATGGTCATATATAGAAAGACTATTTCAAAGTAAACTTTTCTCAAAAATTCTCTTTTTTGAGCTCAGTATTATATGCGAAGCTGTGTGCCTATCATTTGTTACTATTCCTCAGCAGAAGTGGTCCACTAAACATTTCATTTCTCCAAGCAGAAGGAAAATAGTTCGGTCTCTTTTTAAAATCACTCAGAAACAAAACAAAACCTTCTTATCATAACTTACAACAGCAGTCTAAAATTAAGGCTGCTCTACAAACCTCTTGCAGTTCCACTCATTACTCAAAGCTATATATTCTGTCAAACTTAACGTTAAAATTGAAGCACAGCTCTAATGATTAAAAAAAAACCAGAGTCAATGTAAATTTGCACTCTGAAAGAAGTTTTAGATTATGGCTTTCTTCCTTCTCTACCCCAATAATAGAAATAGGGAAAAAGTGTAACAGCAAATAGCCATTTTTCTTATGCTATATAAATGACTTGGAAAAACTAAAAGTGTTTTTTTTTTTCACCTTCCTTTTTTGGAAATGAGTGTCAAACTGTCATTCATATTTAAATATTTTATGGCTTGTCTTCACACAAGATTCATGTGAATACCTAATTGTATTCATATTTTGCATGTATAGCCAGTGGGAATAAATAGCAATCTATGTTTCAGTCCACAAAGAATAAGGAAAGCTTACAATTAGACACAGTTTAGGAAGTGTCTTTACCCACACTTAGTTCTAGGACACATTGGGAGAAGGCATTTACACAGGGATGTGACCTGACACATGAGAGATGTGAAGTCAAGCAAACAAAACCATTTTCACAACTAGAATCTAAGGTTTTTACCTGGTCATGATCAATATCTGCATCTCCTGTAATCACAATGCGTTTCTCAATTCTTGTTTCAGATATTCCACCTTTTACAGTCTAACGGCCATGAAAAAAAAAAAAAAAACAGATCATGAAAGCATATATACAACCAAAGAAAAGAAACATGAAACCCATATAACCTTCTGATAACTGAAAGGCCATTCACATCACATGGAAGACTGTAGAAACTCTCTTTGCAGAATTTTTAAGTTCAACAGCAAATCCTATTGTTAAAGAAAGAGCATCTCTCTAAGTATTTCTCAACCAAAAGTAACTCTAAAATTAACGTATCAAAATTCAAGTGAAATTAATATGGGACAACTGCCACTTAATCCAAGTTCTTTTGAGATAACCAGAAACTTTCCTGAGTTTCTTAACTCCCTGTAGGTCAATTTTTGAAAAGAAAAAAAATAGTTATTCACTGTTTGTAGAATTATAAGCAATTCTAAAAATCTAGATATATTTTAGGTTTAGGAAACAAACTGCTTGAATCTAGCTATGCAAACTGATTTGGAGATTTCATTCATTTTATTTAGGCAGAGAAGACAGTTGAGATTTTCATTCAATGTTTGATCATCTACCATTTCCTCAAGGGGTTGTGCATGCTGACAGGAGACACAGTAGCATAGAGGCTGTGTTAAGAGATGGGGGAAGGAGGTCTTTGGCAAACTAACCAGGAACATAGTGGAGGATCCTCTGCCTGTGACTTTCAAAACAGTAATGAGCAGATACCACATAATTCACCATCTAACCTCCACAATGCTGATAAGGTTATACACCAAGTCACAGTGATGGCACTTTATACAAAAAAAAAAAAAAAAAAGAAAGCTTATCACTAGCTATAGCAATTGGCTAGGTTTTAAAATAATCTTGATGGCAGCATTGGTTTATGTGGATTTTTTTTAATTCACAAAGTTTCTTACTGTCTTTTTTGTTTTGTTTGCTTCTGGTTTTGTTTGGTTATTGTTGCTGAAATACGGGATGATAAAGGATGCATTTAAGATTATTAAGCACTAATCAACTGTAAAAAGTAGAAGAAAAAATACTGGAAAACAAGAGGAATTAGAAATTTGTTGATATCAGCAGGAAACAAAAGCACCTGGAAGCTTCTTTAAACAATCCCAAGTAGTTCTGGAGTAATTATGGTTTATGTATCAAATCCTAGGTGAGGTTGACGCTGCCTAGCCAGGTTTACACTGGTTATGTGGTATCAAACATTTAGAAAATGTTCCAAAATAAATACAAACGAGGGAAATTTTAACCAGTATTATTCAATCTCTGCTCTTGTAGCTGCCTCAAGTGTAGCTATTCCTAACATATTTTTACCCCCCTGTACTTTATAAAACTGCAATTTGGCTTACAAATGTATTTGTTAATGGAGCCCAATTTCTTGGATACTTCAAATAAAGGTATTTTTATTCCACTAGCACTGTCTGTGTACTACTTGGAAGTTTGCACAGGAGCAAAGAATTACAAGTCTGAATAGATTCTGTTTGCAAGGTACCATCCTCACCCTAGGAGTCCCCTGGATTGCTTTACCTTGGTGATATGTGTGGTTGTCGTTGTTGACACGGACTCAGATGTGATGGTTTGTGCAGTCAGTAACGTGCCTGAATCACCACCAGCCCCGCCATCAATCTTTGGATAGTTGGGGGAAAAATACAAAGTAATATTTAACTTCCATGTCAAAAAAGACCCTATCCCACCGAATATGCATCTTCTAAAACTTAGGTAGTTGGTAGTAGATGCTATCTGCTAGTATACTGTATGTCAGTAGAAGTAATTTAAGAGTCTAAGAGTAGGTGACATTTAAAATGGAAGAGAGGCAAACAGTTGACTGAACAAAGAGAAGCAAACCTCGTGTATAAGAATAGAAGTAGAAGACAGTTGGAAAGCTACATGGAAATCAAGAAGATCTGTCTGAGGAATATTTGTGGAAGCTAGAAAAAGAAACCAGAGAGCCAGGAGGAGAAGTTTCCACAGTGACCAGAAGTGCTGAGTTTGTTCTGTTTTTTTTAAGCACAGGTGGGTAAAAATAGATAAGCATTTTCTCAGATTATTAAGCAACAGACCTGACTAGGATACACTGAATCTGCAGAAATCTGTTATTCACTTATCTCTAGATTTTTTAAACACCATTGTTCCTATTTATAATAGTTTGTGAGTATATATGTATACGTATATATAGGTGCAAATATTTTATATTATATGCATGCATACACTCTCTACATACCACACATAAATTGCATATATTAAGACAGGTTTTATTTTGTTTGCTTTGACACTGGAAGAGGCAGAAGATTCTAGTGTTTACAACAAATAATTAAACAACAGCCATTTAACCAAGCTCAAATCACCAAATATATTCCTTACACTGACGCATGGAACTAACTGGATGATACCAGCTTCAGTTCAGTGGAAAATTCTCTCAGACTTGTCATGTACCTGTACTTCTTTAAGGCACATAACACAATATAAACACAAGAGTAATGCCTTCTCTTATCTATTCATAAGATGCCTGTATATGCTTATGTGGGATCTAAGCACACATGGATTACATGACTAAATTCACTTTGAAAAATGTGACACACATTACATCTTTTAAAAAAATATCGAGAGGGAAATAACATGCATTCTCCTAGATGGTATAATTCCATCACAGAAGATTAAAATTCTCAGTGGGGAAACTATTTATTATATGACATTGTTAACATCCAGTTTGAAATGAATAACACTTTCTCCCATTGGTGTTACTCTTAAGGTAGACGTTTCAATGATCTTTTAAAGTTTCCATCTTTACAGAACCTGTCAAGATTTAAAGCATACAAATCTGATTTATAGACAAAAAATGTCTAATCACTATCAGATGCTGCCTTCAGAACATCACAGTAATCAGAGTCTGCTGTCAATTCTAAAAATCTTTAATTGAAGAGTGGGGGAGTGAGACAAAAGTCAAATCCAGTCATGACAACAGAAGTACACATGACTTTAAACATGTCAAGAAAAACATAAAAAAGTATGCATGTGTAGCAAGCTATGAGTTGATCTGATCTATTTTCATGTAGTTTCAGTAGGAATCTATGAACTATTTACTCATCTACAGAATATATGATACACAGCAAATTTTGCAAGATGGTATGTTTCCCACGCACAAACACTTTTTGATGCATCAAGTCAGAAACACCTTACAAAACAAGAACAAGATTTTTATCATTTGTCCTAAATAACATGTACAGTACTGGACTACCAATTTGACTGTAGCTCTCTACCTGAGCCTAAGATAACAAAGCTAGTGGTGTAGTGGGAGTAGTTCTAAAAAATATGTGAAAAACTACTATGTCAAAACACATAAAACAGGAGAAGGTAAGAACAGAAACATTCATACTATAAACAAAACAGAAACTCAAGCACTTGCAATCTTCAGCTTTTGTACCTGTGGAGATTCATATGTGATGGTTTTGGTCTCAGTTTGGACAATGGGGACTTCCTTGGTAGAGATCTCTGTCCTTTGTGAGGCATCAGAAATTGTTACCATCTCTGTTTTTACCACTGGTGGCTGAGGTGAAAAGGGAGGGGAAAAATAAATTGTGGTGGTAACAAAGTAAAAGAGCTTAAAGGAACCTTCAAAACAATTTTTAAGAACCCATATTCAAACACGCATTCAAGCACAGAAGAGTAAAAGCAATAACCTAAACAAAGATAGGAGAAAAATTTTACTTCAAATGTATCATAAATTGAAGTGAAAATAGAAAGAACTGCAGAAAGTGACTTAATTTCTAGTGCAACTTAATAAAAAACAAACTATAGTTGTGTGAAGGCTTATGGTTTTTAAATAGCTTGTGAGTTGGGTAGGCTAAGATTTGTTGTTCTTTCAAGAAGATACCATCTTCAGAAAGAATATTTTCAATGATTGTTTCCAATTATATTCATCTAAAACATTCAGCATTTCTTTTGTGTTACAGAACTACAATGTTTTATCTGAAACTACTCCATTGCTGTTGTATTAATGTTTTAAACCATGAAAGGAAAGGTTCGATTGCCTCGTTAACATTGTAGTTTACTGAGCCTGTATGTTTAGTACACTAGACTGCAGTACTACCAAAACATTCAGTACTTTGAGAAAATTTCCAACATATATAAAAAAAGGAACCACCATATATAGCTATATACTAAATTCATAAATTATTAGCTCAAAGTGTTCAAATACTCGTTTTCTCAAAATTATATTCAGAGAAGTAATATTACAAAAGAGTAAAATTTCATTTAATTATTCCAAAACAAGATGACTTCAAGACTTTCTACCCTACCCATGAGAGCAAATGTGGATGAATCTCTCAAGAGACATTTCTGGAATAGTAAGCCATCCTTCAGTCTACCAACTCCTAAATAAGAGACAGTGAACCTAATCATCAAGATTTAATCTAAAGGGAGTCTGGAACTTTCTCTTTCTTGGAGAGAAACAAAAGATTCCTCCTATCCAATGTAGGTAACTCACAAAACATATAATCAACCTGCCGATAATCCAAAACTGATGTAAGGACAGTATCTTTCTACCGAACATTAGCTTTGACTGCCTAGAAAGGAAGTCAAAGGCTCTTAAACCAAACCACATGACCCCTGGAAGCTTAAAAAGAGAAATCACATGGCACTCAAGAAAAAATGTCTCATCAATACCAGATTGCTGCTTTGGGAGCACCACAGTAATCAGAGCCTGCTGTCAGTTCTACAAATTTTTAATTAAAGGGAGAATGCACCAAAAAGTCAAACTCAGTCATGACAAGCGGAGTACACATTCTCACACTGACCATTTTTTTCAGTAGTATATATGCACTTAAACTAATTAAATCCATGAAAAAGGCATTTAGTGTGAGGAAGCCATGCAAATAAAGACAAAATGATTGCAAGCAGCCAAAACATGCAAAGAAAAATTTAAATGAGAAGTGGGAAGAAAAAAAATAATGTAGTGACTGTAGGAAAGTTTACCCTACAGGTGATTTGGCTGAAGTAAAGAACCCAGAAACCAGGAATGGAGCTGGCAGAAGATCTACAAAGCCGTGCTTTCCCTCTTCTTCCCATGAAAGAGAGAACTCTACTTCTTGTTGAAAAAGCTGAGGAGAATCGGAGGATAGGCAGAGGAGAGAGGCAGGCACTGGCCACCAGAGGAACAAGCTCGACAGTGCAGCTCCCACTTGGGACTCTCATTTACCTCTGAACAACAAATAATTTGTGGCAAAACATCAATGTCAACATGAGACACCTCTCCGTTAACTGTATGTTGTTCTTCCTCTGTGTCTTCTCTTATGTCTTGCTTAACAGTGCCTTCGTGAACACTCTTCTCTGCAGGCATCTTTTGGACAACTACATTTTCCTGGGCCACTGTTTCTACTGTGATTACACTGGCACCTGCTTGTCTGTCTGGGCTGGCTTCAGGCACTGCTGCCTCCCTCTCTACTACCTGGGCTGCTTGGCCGGGCTCTTCCTCCATCTCTTCTTCATATTCTTCCTGCTCTTCCCTTATGATGCCCTCGGTCACACGGTGGTGGGGTTGGTACTCTCCCACATCTTCCTCCTCACTCTCACTGCTGCTGCTGCTCTCAGAAGACAGGGAGGTGGAGTCTTTTTGTGTCACATGCTCCACCTTACGAATCTCCCCAGGACCACTCCCAGGTGAGATCTCTTTACCATTCATTTCTTCTGGGATTACTCTTTCGTCTTTCCCAACCTCTGCCCGCTTCTTCTCCTCCACTACATTCAGAGTTTCATGTGAACTCTATACAAAAAAACAAGATGGATGAAGGAAAACAAAAATATATGAATACACAAAACAACGGCAACTAAAATTAATAGCAGATTCATGTCATGGAGAAAACAAAGATGATTATGATGGCTGACTGAAAGGGAAGCGGGGCGAACGTGAGGGGTATGAGAGACGACAAGCAATGGTGTTAACATGGGAAGGGGAAGGAAGAACCTTAACAGCATCTTTGGCTCCAGTGCAAGGCCCTTCTGACTCGGGAGCACGTGTCTGTGAAACAAAAAGCAACCAAGGACACAAAATCAATAACATTTTACCTCAACAACGACCGAAACAGACATCTGACACTGCAAAGACACAAGAGCAAGAGTCAACATCTGGGAAAACCTTTGCTTGAGGTCACATAGAGGACAACTGAGACAAATGCCAAAAAGCAGACATAAAGAGGCAGAAGCACAAAAACAGCCCGCGTCCTCTCAAAGACACGTTTTTATTACAGCTCCACCTAGAAGCTCCACTCACCTAAGTGAACTTTTAAAGGGACTATACCAAAAGAAACTTTTTAAACCTACTCGCACAAGTAGTTTTGGCTTTAATTCAAGCCTAATACCTAGCTTGGAGTCTTGATTCCTAAATACATATAATACTAAGAAGATGACAACTGTATCTCTTCTTTTGCTAAGTGACTAAAAAATTAATTTGAATGGCAAAACTGTACCTAGCCTTAGATAGCTATTATCATAAAAATGTTTATTTTACAGATGGTTATTATTTTCCTTACTTGTATCATAGAACAGAAGGGATGTGATATATTAGGGCAGATGTCAATGGTAGCAAAGAATATTTTCCTAAATTTCATTTTTTGAGTAACAAAATAGAAGTCTGAAATGCATCTAATTTATTATTGAAAATACTCATTCCTACCCTCCCCCATGTAGATATCTACTTCTTGGAAGTAAATTAATTTACTCTACTTGAGTAATACAAAATTTAAATATTCATAAGTATTGCTGATTGGATACATTGTTAATATAAATTATCATGCTATGGTATTATCAAATAAGGTAGAAATCAATTTATAGAGGAGTTTGTCTTAAAGCTTCAAATTGCCTGACACATTTTAAAAAATCTACATTGGTACAAGTACTGCATAGCAACTTTTTAAAATCTGAGTGTTTTGCATCCCACAATCTAGATGCAGAAGGGCACTATGTTTCTGGACATTACTGTTCTGAAACCTTAGAGACATATACTAATTACACTGAGTTGTCTCCTGTAATGGTAGGGTTTCACTTCATTTTACCCCCAATTCAAAGCACCCAGAGATAAAAGTGCCTCAAAAACATACTGCTTTGTAGTATATATCAACATACATATAGTGTCTCTGGTCTCTGGTTCTGCTACTTTTTTTTTTTTGTCAGTTGTAGGGTTTGAACTCTGGGCCTGGGGGCTGTCCCTGAGCTCTTCAGTTCAAGGCAAGTGATCTACCTCTTGAGCCACAGAGCCACTTCCAGTTTTCTCATGGTTAATTGTTGATAAGAATCTCACAGACTTTCTTGCCTGGGCTGGCTTTGAACCGAGATCCTGAGATCTCAGCCTCCTGAGTAGCTAGGATTACAGGCGTGAGCCACCAGTGCCCAATGTTCTGCTACTCTTAAATGTACTGGAAACGCATGTTTGGGTCACTCAAAATGCCATGTAAATCATGTTACCAGCAAAGCAAGAGTCATCCTTCCAGTTATTGAAACCCAAGAGGTTTCAAATAGTAAGTAAACTGAACAACAACCAAAAACAACCCAAACACCGTGAGTCTATTTTAATAAGCAGGTAACATGTAGCTACTTATTTAAAAAAGATGAAATTTAGTGATAAGAATATTTCTAAAACGGACATTTTAGGATTATTCCAGAAAAGTGTACTATTGTGGAATAGATTCTGCCAAGTTCAAGGAATCCGTGAAGGCCTTTCAAAAACTACCTTCCCTCTTAAATGTAAAGAGAATGTCTGAAATTTGGTTTGGAAAACTTTAGCCTCTACAAATCATACTTAGATTTTATGTAAAGCTTTGCTAGCTAGAACTCTAGGCCTTAGTGGCCTAAATGGTTCTCTGAATTTAGGCAGATTTTCATGTTTTGGACCAATTTCATTTCCTCACATCCAAATCCATTGTTTCCTCAATGTTTTTCCCAAGGACAGTTAATTTTGCCAGTGGCAACACTAAGGGAGGGCCTCATATTTAAAAACTGAAAATTTCTCTCTTAGGCGGTCATTAGTACAAGAGAAACAAGTAAAATGCACCTTAGGCAAGTGTGAGAAGGGCGAGGAGCAAAGCTTTTCTCTAGGTGCATTAGTGTTCACAACAGCGCCCTCTGCTGTCCAAGTGGTGGCTGAGGTGAAGGTGGCTGTCATGCTATCAGAAAAGCCCTTTCCACTAAACAAAATAGATGTTATCTCCTCTTCTAGGCTCTAGACAGGTCGGAAAAGGAAGAGCAAAGAATTAACAATACATCAGGACAACAATGACCTATTGAAGGAAAGGGAAGGTTATGTAAGAATAACGGAACAGCATAAAATGAGAGAAGATAAGAATTAGGAAGATTCTGTAGCAGACTTAGGTGGAGGTTATTAGCCTGAATGCCAGCATTCCCACTGTCCCACTGTTTGAAAACCTTTGACAGCTGTAACCTGCAGAAACCAACTAAAACTCCTAGGTTTATTACTGACGCTTTATCAAAAACTGAGAACCACTTAGCTGCACTCACATATTCCTGAGGTAGTTCCTTGTTTTCTTTTTGTACAGAATGGGCTTTTCAGTGCCCTCTCCACTTGAAATGCTTCTTCCTGTCCTGAATCTTGGGTCACCCACCTCTTCTCAGGTGCACTCTGGCCTTTCTCCTCCTATTGAACTCTGTCCCTTCATACTGTGCCATCTCTCTGGGGCCCACTTAGCAAGTCCATGTTCCGTGGAAGGCCTTTCATAGCGACTCCAGCTCTTATGAGCTCTTCCTTTCCGCACATGACTTTATATAACAAATATTCTTAGCTGCAACCCAAAGTGATTCTCTCAGATATTTAAGCATGCCACAGAGCAATAATGTTGTGGTTATTTTTCATTTGCTTTGTTGGCAAAGAGAAACAAGGAAAAATAATGACCAATCCAGAACTGTAAAATGAATAATGTAAAAATCATTTGTCTCTGAAAAACCACATGTGGTAACTTTAACTTTCATATTTCTGGCAATGATTCCAAATGTGTCAGTGAGGACAAAAGGAAAGCCAAGAACTGTCCTCAGAAGCCTGGAAGGCCACCAGGGCTACCACAAGGTTCCTCTCATGTCACAAGTTTAAAGAAAAATAAATGCATAGCAACTGCAAGATGGTGTTCTAAGAGGGATGATGAGAGGAAAGTGAATAGGAGAAAAATGTTTCTAGACTAATTTGGCTCAGTTATTATCCCATCATTACATCTTTCCCTGGGGGAATGGGAGTCCTTCCTAGTAAAACATCACTGGGGAGTTTAAGTAAGTGCTATGCATTCAATTAGTCAACAAATAACTACAAAAGTATCTCAAAACTACAGTATACATGATCCTTATTAGACTCATAAAAGAATACCTTGTCTTCACAATACAATATATAAAAGAAGGCATGAGTTATTTATTGAAGGCAAAATAACTTGTTTTCCAATTTTCTCTTCTATACTCAAAATCATTTACATTCAAGTCAAGTCTACTTTGAAAGTTTGATGTATTTATTTTTTAGGCAATAAAAAAACACTTTTTAAAAATCTATAAAACCCATACCATGGGAACTTGGAAATTTTATTAGACAAATACACAATAGTTTTCATTTTGTGCTTCAACAGAGGTAAGACTCAAAGATAAACAAGAAATACTGAAAAATCCAAGAGCTAAAAAGAAGTTATCATTTTAAAAACTAAACAGGTATTTTATCCAATTTAAAATATTCCAATAGACTCCACTGCTCATATGAGTTAACAGTAGTGGCATGATGTTTTAAGAAAAAAAATAGTAATATATATCTATATGAAAATAAAATAACAAACATATATAATATATGCATGGGTCAATAAGCATTTCCTGGGTGAATGGATGAAAAGTTGTAATCAGAACAATCCATATATATGTCTAACAAGTAAATTTTCCTGCATGTGTTAGAGAGGTAAGAACAGAAACTTCAAATGGGGATAAGAAATCTAGGAGCTTTTCCTGGCTTTGATTTCCTTTAACATTACTATAACTTCTACAAAATATTTTACACTGCACGTTTCTAAACATGTGACCCAGAAAAATACTGATTTTTAATTATCTTAATCAAAATTCTAGTTCCTACTGTAACAAGTCCAAGCACATCACTTTAAATTTGATCAAATGACCTCACATGACTTGCTTCTAGCAGGTAGATTTTAATATATGTATATATACAAATATTTAAAAGTATGTGATATTAAAGTTATCATTATACATGTGATTCAACCGGTTTTGGATTTCTGGTTAAACTTTAAAGTGAATAAACCATTTGCTTGAGTTTCTATGACATTATGTTACTCATTCTCATTTGGAAACAATTTCATTTCAACTAGACCTCAAAGTCTCTGAGGGAATTTCCATGTATTCTGCTCCTCCCCCTCTCCCATGCATTTTCATTCTCATTAGTAAAGTCTACTTTGTGGAAAGGTAATTCTGTCACTGTTTGCATTCACACTTCCTTTATAATCCATTCCTTACCCAGTGCCAGAGGGATTTTTGCCGGACATAATTCACATCACTACTCACCTTAAACAACTACAATAGCTTCCTGTAACTCCCAATATAGCCTAATTTTTGATGCTCTCATGTGACCTGGAATCTGACTTGTTGGACCTTGCCTTCCTTTGCGCTCCTCCTTGTTCACTAAGTCAGTTTGCTTCTGAACGTAATTTTGGCCTTTGGCTGTTGTACTTATTCTTCCTATGTCTGCCTCTGTCGCCATTAATGTCTCAATTCCAAGGCCACGTTCCCCTGAAGCTCCTCAACTCCCTTCTAACACAGTATTATATTTCACATTCTTATTAGAACTTACTTCTCAGTAACTGTAACTCTCTAATTGGACATGTTTGTTACCCCCTCCACTAGACTCTAAGCTCTCCTTGGCTGACCAGCTGGCTAAGAAAAATCAGTAGAAGAATAAGAATATAAGTGCAATGAAAGCAAATTTCCTCACTAATGTTGGACATTTCATAACGCAGGGGCACAAAGAAAGGTATGAGGGCTGCCATTAAAAACACCTTAAAAATAACATTTCCAAAGGTGATATGTGATTAGTGATTGTGTTTTTCTACCAGCATATTAGTGTTGTACAGAGAATTTTCATGTGAAATTAGTTTTCTAACTGTCAGCCACTTACACCAAGTTAGGGATCACTTGTCACTTAACCTGGATGGTATTTCTGCATTTTGAGTGATCAAGTAGAGTACTTATACAAACACTTGTCTCACCCAGTGACATTACAAGGCTATGGAGAGGGGCTTAACTGTTTAGACACTCAAAAATTATTATACATATTGTAGACTGACATAGGAAAAAATTCTCTATGGCTGTGGACAGAAATACATGGAAAGGGGAAAAAAGCAAGAGCAGGTCTAAGGATGCAAGGTGAACACCTTGTCTGCCTCCTGAGCTTTTTCTTCAACAGTCCGTGTTTTGGCCATCAGGTACTTCTCCTTCATGGATAAGATATCCTTGAAAAGATGGTCTCCTTTTCTCTATTGTTTTAAACAACATAAATCAACAAATAAGACACATACATTACACCTATAGCAGCACAAACATGAAACAATCCTGTGGGTCTGTGGAACAAACCAGATGAAGCAGCACATAAACAAGGGCCAGACCTTATCATGTCATCACACAACGTTTTTCCAGAAACACTCTAGAAGATAGCTGAAATTGACTTTACTGTAAGGAAATCTGAAAATAAGAACTGAAGTGGTATCAGACTTTAAGGGCCTACCATGCATGGTGTTTTAATCTTGTTATCATGTTTTTCCCCCCAGTGCCGAAATTATTGTTGCTCATCATTTCCTAAAGGACTATTTTCAACACAAATTTAAAAACTTAATACTATGAACAGCTTTGCTTCTTAAGGAGGAAAGGATGAATAAAAGAGCATCAAAATGTCTAAAATATGGTACATTCAAATTTCACTGGACACTGAAAGAAGAAAGATGAAATGTAACTTCTTTATGCACTTTAACAACTTCACACTAAATATAGTGTGATCCACCTCAAGGAGGAGCCACCCATGGAAGGTTTTAAGTCAGAAACAGGAGAGAGGGATCTGGAAGCACCAGAGAGGACCAGAGGGAGAAAGGAATGAATGAAATATATTTTGAGAGAGTACTCTAAAAGACTTACATTAGTGGAAGGAAGAAGTAAACCACAGAAAGGAAAATGAATGAGTATGAAAAGATATAATGGCTGAAAATGTTTTTAAACCACTATTCTTTAGGATATTTCAATATTAATTATGATATAACATTTTACAAGCTTTCAACAGGGTTCATACTTCCTTAAAGGTAAATTTTATCTCATTCTCCTCATAGTAATGATTATAAAGCATTCTAAACAAGATCTATATTTACTTCTTGTTTCAGAAGTCAGTAACTAAGAAGCTTATTCAATACAATACTTAGTTTCTAAATTATCTTGTATAATAATTCATTATGACTAATTTACCTGAATAAAGAACTGAACTTACTCTGAAAATATCTCAGAAGTACTTTGAAACTCATACCATTTTTTGAATAACTAGGCCGATAAGTACTACATTGTTAATATTTAGTATTTAAAAAAATGTTAGCAATTCCAAACACCATTAAGTGGGTACATTCTGTAACTTCTGAAAATCAACACACAACAACTATAGTTTTACTGAACAAAGGGAATGAGACATATAGCCAACAAATAGCTAATGACATACCCCTTGTGTCTGTAGGGACAGAGGTGTGATACGTCGTTTTTCCCATTCATTGGGGCGCGGCTCAGGTGTGGATTCCATAAAATTGCGCTTGAGTTCACTAATGCTAGCCTGATGTCTCAGTATGTCTTCCTGGGCCTTATCCAGGTCCTAGCAATATGTAACGTAACAAGGGGGGAAATCCAAAAGGAAAAAAAAACCCAGTAGGACAAAAATAAAACCAAAAAATAAGACAAAGTAAACGTATGATTAAAAAAAAAAAAAAACATAGTAAAGCAAGAAAAATGCCAAGTCTCAAAAGCCATATTATCACCCAAGAATAATCTTAACACATCCATCAAAATTTGAAAATAAAGCCAATGTGCAATTTTATGATTTATATTTGGAAGGTTTCTGGTTTCTTCGGTTTGAATTTTTTTTTAAGAATCATCATTATATTATTAGAAGGAAGCCATAGAAGTAATCTTCAAAGGGGCTGACAATGCTTCTTTCTGCACTCCAATTTGAACTGCAGCCTGTGACTCTGTCTCATAAATTTTTCTTGCTGATAAGGGTTACTACTAAAATTGTATTCTGTGAACACAGAAAATCAACTACAACACAGAAAAGTAGTTTCAGAAGGCCTGAAGGGAAAGCCAATTCAGGATTAGCTAAAGGTGAAAAAAAAACAAAGGCTGACTTTTGTCAGGAAATTCCAGTGGTGGTTTTTAATAATCCATAAGGAATAAGTATAAATGTACAAGTAGCTACCTCTGTTTGGTCTTTCCACAAAACAATTAACCACATGCTGGTCTCATGAAATGTCAAGCACAAAAGTGAGTCTCAGTCACCTCACAGGCCAATGGTCCTTATACAAAGAAAAACTACCAGGTCTATTTTCAATGGAGTAAGCTCTGCTAACTGATGTCCTAGGATTTTTTTTTGTAGACTGACTCTTATAATGGTATGTGTGGTAATTAGCACTCAGGAAACGGTTTTAACTGACCTTTAAATGTTTCCTTACATTCTCAAAGTCACAGGGCCGCCTGTTAAAGCTTTCACCCCACTCCCCGGTCATGCACCTGATAAAATTAGGTAATTTTATATTCATGCACAAGCATAGTAGCTCATCTATGAGCTTCTATAGCCATTTGCAAAGACTCTAACCCTAAAAATCTTTGCATGGCATGAGGGGGAATGATTTGTGGCTTGAGATCAGGCACATTTCTTGCATTTGTTCAAAGCAATGTTACTTATTATACCTTACGGCATTTTAGTAAGTTAAGCAAATACAAATTTTCAACAGTTATCAAAGCTGCCAAAAGCAACCAAACAGATTAGTCAAATTATAGAGTTGCAGTTTTCTACAGAATATACAGCCACACTGTACCTTAGCACAGGAAGAATAAAACCTGTTCTCTTGTGACATGGGGAACATATTTTGAACTTCCTAATTAGGTAACTAGGCTTTCTCTTTTTACCCTCTCTCCTCTCCTCTTCTTCTTCCTCTCTTTCTCTCTCTTTCTTTCTGCTCTTCTCTCTCCTCCTTTCTCCCCTCTCTATTTTCTTCCTAATCAAAACAATTCAATTAATCAGTATACTCTCAAATAAAATACTTTAAAGAGGTCATGTTTCTAATCACACGGATTTAGAAAAAATATGAACACAGATCAACGAAGTATTTAATGCAGTATCTGTTGTCCTTAGTCTATCTTAAAGGTGGGATGATATTATTTCAGCTTCTTCACCCTACAGATAACCCAATAGGAAAACAGGCTTATGGATATACTTTATCTGACTAAATGGATATACTTTATCTGATTAAAAAGAACATTTTTCCCCAGTGGTCACTTTGAGAACTTCCAATAGATATCCCTATCTAAGCAATTTTAGAAGAACCACGTTGGACTGGTACCATGCACTCCCCAAGTTCAATCTCCCCATGCATTACATGCACTGTGCTTGAAGAAGATTGCCAGCCAGCCTGTGAGTGACCTCCCATCCACAGCAGCCTGGCAGCCATTAGGACAGAGTTGTTTTCTTAGATCATACAAACCTCCAACATTAAATTGCTATGTCTGACATAAATATTATCCCCTTCTACTCTCAAGGAATTTTTCTGTGAAATTAAATCACACACAGGGGGAAAAGGCAAATAAACAAAAATGTATCAAACAGCAAGCACTAGAAACAACCCATCTGACAGACTTTAAAAGAGGCACAAAATCTTAAAAATTTGAAGCCATAACAACAAAACTCAAAAATAAACCCTAAAAGCATATTCCATTATCATCCCCACCCTCAACAAGGATAATGACAGGCAGCAGCCACCAGATAATTCGATTTCAGGGGACAAACAGCCACCTCTTCCAGCTGTGTTTTCTCCTCTTCCATCTCTGCCTGCAAGATCACACCCAGCAACGTAAATGATGAAGCAGCATTACCAACCTTTCTTGTTTGGCCCCTGACGATGCAGAGTATTTAGCCACTTTGGTCTTTCTTCACCTACAATGTTGTACAAATGATGGAAATGATCCTTTGCAAAGGTGGGATGGCGAATGGAGGCTTCACTCTCTCTCAGTCCCTAGATCATGCTTTGCTTCGCAATGTTTTAAACTCAGAATTGAAAACAGGAGAGTGCAAATATGGCATAGTCTATGTCAACTAGTAATGAGACCAAGTATAGTGATGTATAGCTTTATGTCGGTTACAAATTTTGCATTATTAGAAACTGCTCTACCACTAGTTTTTAAATAAGGATTTTTTTGTGGGGAAGCAAAATTAGTTTATTTAGCTACTATCATATTAAAATGATGGGTATCTAAAAATAAGCTTTGAAATGCTGCCTTTTCTTTATAAAATTTTGTCCTTAAACAAGAATAATTTTCCACAGCTAGAAATTTCTCAATTTTCAATAATATAAAAACTGATTATTAGAAGCTTAAAACTAGCATAAACATGGAGTAGGCTTTGAAAGCAAAGTACTGATTTTGATATGAGAGGAAAATAATCTCAGGTTAATGCATATATGTAGTATCTTTCCTTTCTTTGCTGGGAAGAGACTGCAGAATCTGAGAGTTCAAATGCTCGCATTTGTTTGCTATTTCTGATTAACTATTATGGCAGTTTTGTAAGCAGGGAGCTCAAATTGTTTTTATCAGAGCTGAAAAATGGTATATGATCAATTTATGAAAGAATTTGCTTGGTTAACACTCAAGTCTCCTAAAATATTGATCTTTGGTATTTCTCAAGTAAACCTGAAGAATTGTGGGTACTTTTTCTACAATGTATACTTATTGTATTTTTTCGGATTTTTCTTTAGGTTTGCTCTGAATTTTGCATATTTATTTACTCTATGTATTGAGACACTAACTAAACAGACTTCATTAGTTTAACCAGGTACATTAAAACAATGTGAACAATTACTTCTTGTAGTGCAGAGATAAACCTTAAGAAAAAGAAAGAAAGAAAATTGCCTTCTTTTATAGGGGTAAAAAAAAAAAATCTTCAAACCAGACATCTAATTTTAAATGAAAGAGCACTCAGAGGACCTAAGTATGTGTAATATAAGCTTTCAAAAAGCCACATTTCATTTTCACATGTTGTTAAAGGTAAGAGAAGAGTATCCTCCTCATGAAATACCTGACAGTGAGTCTTACATATATGATTTAGGGTAGGGGGAAAAACACCAGTTAAAATTCATCTATCTGGTCTCCAAATGCTATAGAGTTTCTGAGATCAGACTTACAAATGTCAGAAGCAAAGGTTACAGATATAATCTCATGAATGCAAAAACAAATTTGGATTTTGAGCAAGAGAAATAACAAGACTAAGGAGCATTATATACAATTTTATCTACTGCATTCTAAGTTAATTCCAAAAGGAACAGTTCCCATCTTAAAGGAACGTACTTACATTTTTCTGAAAAACAGACTCAATATGAATTGTTAAAGACAATATAAGCTCCTCTCTAGAACATATTTTTTTTGGGGGGAGGGGTGGGTCCGGTCATGGGGCCTGAACTCTGGGCCTGGGTGCTATCCCTCAGCTCTTCAGCTCAAGGTTGGTGCTCTACCACTTGAGCCACAGCGCCACTTCCAGCTTTTTTCTTTTTTGCTTATGTGGTGCTGAGGAATCAAACCCAGGGCCTCATGCATGCAAGGCAAGCGCTTTACCACTGAGCCACCTTCCCAGCCCCGCTAGCATATCTTTAAAAACAAAAAAAGGGATGATTTTATAAAAGAATCCTATCATTTTGTTCTCAACTGAGAATGTGTGGAGCTGGTCAAAGGACAACAAGTGCTTATACTTATCTCTCATGCACTAAAGTGTTGCATATACGAAAGTATGAACTGATATTGAGGGCAAGCAGTGAAAATTATGCACATGTTTACACTCTATATATTAGAAAGGGTATATAATGGAGTTGGGTTGACTTTATAAAATGCAGCTATGGAGGACTGCCAGCGATCACTTCTTCCTCCTCTGTTTTGTCATTCCAGTCATACTCACAAAAAACATTACAGGGGGTGGCTTTAGCCTCCAGATAGCAGAGGGCTAAAGCCAGAGGAAGCGCAAAGGTAAGAGAAAAAGGAACAGACTGAGAAGCCGAGAGAAGCAACCCAAAGATGAGGACAAGGGAAGGAATGAAGGAAGGAGATGTGATAGGGACGTAGTGTTGAACATCAGGAGGGAGGAAGGAGACCCAGAGCTTGGGGAGGCTGGGGAAAGCAAGATACCCATCTTCATCCAGAAGGGAGGGAAAGCCAGAGGGAAAACATTTGTAGAAGCTAAAAGAGAAGTAACCAAACTCTGAATCCCTGTGGCTAGTCACTTTAAGAGTTTTCTCATGGATGAGATGAGGACAGTCAGGCTGAGAAGGAACTATAACAGGTTCCAAGTCAGAGTCCAAGGTGGTAAGCTCAGAGTCTCCCTGCTCTGATGTTTCACCTGTGGAAATGAGCTCTAAGCTGTCTAGTGTGATCTGGTCAGCCTCCCCAAAAGGGTCTTCCTCTGAAATATCTGACAGCAAGTCCACTTCAGGGACTGGCAACAGGTTTGGGGAAAAAGATGAGGTGCAACGGATGAGTGGTGAAGGTGGGCACATGCAAACAGTCTATTCTCAAGGGCAAATCCATGAGTGAATATGACATTACACAACAGATATATTCAAGGGAGAGACAAATGCAGAGGGAAAGAGGAAAAAAGAACAAATGGGTAGTTAGTGAAAACTTTACTCTCAAGGAAATTTCATATTAACACAGTGTCACTAGAAAACAAATTAAATGGTCAGTTTTAGGAAGAAAAACTGGACTACTTTCATTACATCAAAATTTATAAGGATCAACCAGTTATTGTCAAATCAGTTGCAAATAAATTCTATAAACTCAACAGGCTCCATTTGCCCTTAAACCTGGCTGCTGACAAGACATTCAAAGCATTAGCCAGCATAACCAGGCATTTGCTGAAAACAAGCAAGAATTCCTTTGGAATTCAAAAGACAAAAACAGTTATCTTGAAAAAAATAACTGCATACATCCATCTAAATATGGAAAATGGAACAGAAAGCATGTGAAATGCAATGCTCTTCTGTGTCAGAAGTAAGCAGCCACTAACCCGGGTGACCTTGTTAGCAGTTTTCTTTGTTGCTGTTTTTTAAGATTTGACAAATTTTTCAGTAGTTGACTGACATCTTGCTGGACACCGTTTCTATTGCAGTTAACAATAATTTACAGCCAAATAAATTTATAATCTAGTAGTCACAAATTCCTTAACAACAGAATGCAAATGATCTGCTGTTACCTGAAGAAATCATGTGTCCTTCTGGAGTAAGTAAAGTAAGCAAACCTCCCCATCAGGACCAGGAAAACCTTCATAATCCTTGGACCAACTTGGTCCAACCACACCTCCATGCTGGGTGTAAGATGTCATTAGTAACAGGCATAGGCAACTACTTCATTTAGCAGGCCCAAAATTCTTTTCAAACAAATCACCATTTCATAAAAAAAACACAGAGATCAACACGTTACACTTTAATACTTACTTGTACCAAACCAAATGTAAATTTCAAATCATCACTGTAGTGGTTCCGTGATTCAATGATAAGAAGATTATAAAGAAAGTCAGGAAAGCCAATGAGCTACTTACTTTCATTAATGTAACTTTATACTGAAACATATTGCCTAAACATCAGTCAAAATGAGGTAAGAGATTACTGTTAAAACCATTAAACCATTCAAACCATATTTGCAAAGTGGGAAAATACATCGACATTAAAAAAAAAAAAGGTTAAATTTTAAATATTTAACTTGTGAAGTAGAAAATCCAGCAGGTAATCTCTAGTCTAAATATATGTTGAAAGCCTTGCATAGTACGAGTGTGCCATACCTTTCCTTCAATGAGCTGCACATGTGAACCTTTACTTGCGCTTCGAACATCCCTCCGGCCATCTCCATCTTGTACCACCATGGCAGTGCTGACGACTCCAGAGCCATATGCTGAAATTTCTCCAGCAGGACCTGGAAAATCCTTCATAAAACTTTGGTCCACAGAACCAATCAGAGCTACAAGAAAGATAACGTTGGATTACTCCAGAACTTGTAAATAGCCATGTTTTTTAAAATTTTTAATAGTTTTATTGTTATTGTAAAAGTGAGGTACAGAAGGTTACAGTTATATAAGTCAAGAATACATTTCTTTTTGGACAAAGTCACCCCTTCCCTTGCTCTCTCCCAGTTGTTCCCTCCCATTCCCATCCATAAGTTGTACAGTTCATTTTCAATATGGTATCCAGTGAGTACCACTGTTGCATTTGTTCTCCCTTTGTCCCTCTATTTCTGTTCCTCCACTTTCATTCCCAAAGACATATAAATGAATAAACAGAACAAAAAAAATAAGAAAATAAATATAGAAGAAAGAAAAAAAGGGAAAAAAAAACTCTTGTTTTCATTTCCTGGAGTTCATTTTGGTAAGTAGTATTATTTTCATGATCAGATGCTCATAGGCATTATGCTTTTCTATTCCTCTCCCAAGAGAATCCTGCTTTGGTCTCACTGTGTTTGAATGCCTAGAGACCTGTATAATTTATTATGCTCTGGTATTGTACATCTAGCTTCCACATATGAGAGAAAGAACACAAGTGCTGTGAAAGACCAACTTTTATACAACATATCTCTCTTTAAACAAATATGTGGCATGTAAACAACAGGAAAAAGGACTCTGATTGAGGCCTGAAAATATTAACATGCAAACTAAATTTAGTCTTGAAACTCAAACAATCTCAATTTGAAAAACATGCAGATTATAGAGCGTGCCAGCAGGAGGAGCTCTAACATCAGCTAAAATGGCTAAATGTCAAAATTACAATGTAATCAATAATTTTCTGGGAACCTCTTTAATCTTTCTGGATTCCTCCTCCCCCCCCCCCCCCAAATCATCCTATACAAAAAAAAAAAAATCATCTAATGGTTAAAAAACTTTTTCTACACTACATTTTAAGAAGTCTTCCTTAAAGGAACCTTTAAACATCAAAACAAATCAGTAGACTTTAGTAAGTGATTTGTTTAATAAACTTTAACTTTTTTGGTTTTTTGCCAGCATCAGAGTTTGAACTCAGACCCTTGTAATTGCTTAGCTGACACTCTACTACTTGCGCCATATCTCCAGCCCAGAATCTCCCAGACACTTCTGCATAGTCTTTGAACCATCAAGTACTTTCAGTCGGTAGATCACATGATATTTTTTTCTTTTGCTTTTTTTTTGTTTTGTTTTTTAAATTGTGAAAATACCATACACAGAGGGGTTACAATTACATAGGCAAGATAATGAGTACATTTCTTATCAAGCATTGTTGCCTCCTCCTTTGTTTCCCCTTCCCATCCCTTCCCATACCACCCCCACCCCCTCACCCGATCCTCCCCCCCACAACCATGTTATGTTTTCGACATAACAACTTGTACATCTCATTGTTGCAACGGGTCCACCTGTATTCTTATTTAAACTATTTGCTTTTTCCCTTCCCCTCCACAAATTATACCAATTTTCATGCAATTGTTTCTAACATATTTATAAGATGATTTCTTTGTTGCTTTGTATGTCCCTTCCCCACATATTTCTTGATCCACACCTCTACTTGTCCTTTTTTGCCCAATCTTGCCTTTCCATGGAATGCTAACCTCATACTTGTCCCATTTGCTTAATCCAGAAACCTGAATGCCTAGGACTCTTCTCTCATTCCCTCAACACCAGCAAGTCTGGTAGGATCCTTGGATATATTTACAAGCATGATGAATTCTTTCCGTCTCTATTTCTGCCACCTTACCCTTTAAGAGTTTACAAGCCCCAGAAGTACTCACACTATTCAAAGCCCACACCAAATTACTAAACATTAAGATGAAGTCACACCTTACAATGGACGTGCCTATTTTCTGGGGTTGTTTAACTTTTGAAAAGATTTTACTAACAGAAAACAGATAGCTGTGCATAACTCTAACTTGTGACTTCTTAGCACTCACTCATTACAGATAGGAATTATTGCACAGTAAGAAAAGCTGATGGGGCTGGGAAGGTGGCTCAGTGGTAGAGTGCTTGCCTTTCATGTATGAGGCCCTGATTCAATTTCTCAGCACCACATAAGCAGAAAAGGCCAGAAGTGGTGCTGTAGCTCAAGTGGTAGAGACAGCACCCAGGCCCACAGTTCAGACCCCATGACCGACAAAAAAAAAAGAAAGAAAGAAAAGCTGACTTAGGTTTGGCTTCAAATATAGTGATGTTGAAATGTGAATGAGTATCAAAATCATAAGTTACAAACTGAAGATGACAAAATGGGCATACTTTAACATATCAATTTCAGGTTGCACCTGAGAGGCTTGCAGGCTCAGGTATGAGCCCAGACTGTGAAAGAAAACGTCTAACTGATCCAGTGCTAGCTGAGGTAAACCAACCATCACTCTCACTTGGACTATTCCTATTGGCCAGCTTTCCTTTCTCAGCTGCCTTTCTAATTGATCTTTTGCACTAAAATTATTTTTTCAACAAAAAAAATCACAATGATCATATGTGAACACACATATTGCACAGTAGCTTCCTACAACCCAAACCATTCTTCACAACCTACCTCGCCCATCACTCTTCTCAAACCTGCCTTCTCCCTCACTTTACAACCTTCAGCCCATCCTGCGTAGCTTACTATCCCACTTTTCTCTCATCTCACCTTCAATTCTCAACTGTGCTTTTTCCTCAGGTAGGCCTTCCTTGCTAGATGATCCTTTCTAAGCAGTGTGCCTCCTCTATATTGTTGACTCAAAGAAAATGACTGCCTCCCCACTCTCAAAGACTTTTTTGATTGTTATATCTTTTAAATGACTGATTTGCTTCCTGGTGTTCTAATCTCAGAGGAATCTCACTGTTTTAAATAGCTGTTCTAGGCTGCTTTTAAATTTTCACATTTGGTCTTTTAGATACCACATTCATTCGTTCTTTCTGTAATCACAAATGAATTTAATTTCCCAAACTTTAAAATATATCCAAATTATTCTAGTTTAACTTATAAAAACTGAACAGATAAAAAGGCAACATTATACATGTTAACAACAACTGAAAAAGAATAATTATGAAGAATGAAGTACATAAAACTCTGTACCAGGTTACAGACTCTGTACTTATGGGATTAAAAAAAAAAGAGAGAGGGGCTGGGAAGGTGGCTCAGTGGTAGAGCACTTGCCTTGCATGCATGAGGCCCTGGGTTTGATTCCTCAGCACCACATAAGCAAAAAGAAAAAAGCCGGAAGTGGTGCTGTGGCTCAAGTGGTAGAGTGCTAGCCTTGAGCTGAAGAGCTGAGACACAGGGCCCAGGCCCAGAGTTCAGGCCCCATGACTGGACCCCTCCCCCCCCTCCAAAAAAAGGAGAATATAAATCCTAACCAGAGTTCACTGGTGTCTAATCATGTCTTGGCATGAAAAGCCTCTTATTTTTTTACAATAACAATAATCCTTTTGATGACTTGCCCATCTGATGAATTACAGTGTCCAGAACACAAAGAGAAAAATAATGGATTACTGTGCCATGTTTGTTGCTTTTCTTTGTTAAAAAAAAAATCATTGTTTTCAGATACAGACTCCTAAAACCCTCTGTAGTAACTGCTCAAACAAGATGGTAGGTTTCCTTGAGTGCAGTTCATATACCCCAAGGAAAATGCATTGGTTTTGTGCTCTTTTAAGCTCTGAAACTTGTAATGTAAGAGTTATAGAATGCACAGTTTAAAACAAAGGCTGAAAACATTATTCCAGAAAGAGCAATGATTTCTTTCAGGGCATTAAACAACAGTGACTGCCTTTATTCAGCCCTTGTATAAATTCTCTGTGCCAAGAAGCAAGGCTTGAAAAATATTCACATGGGTTGGCACATTTTTCAGATTTGGAAAATTATTCAGTTGTTGATGGACATTAATAATTCACCAAATTTAAGTGACAAGATCTGTAAATGTGGACATTTAAAGCACAATTATGATCTCTTTTCTGTAGTTTACACGGATTCATAAAACTACATGAAAAATTCTCTAATCAAGATTTAATCATTATATATATCAAAATGTCCACCAACAAATCCAGAATATCTGTGTGTCCATTTAAATAAGTCAAAATTTCTTTCTAGCAAAAGCAGATCAAGACAATAGGTGTCAACCCTTCACTAATGAGAGAGCTTTTATACCTCCTAGTAGATATCTGGTTGTCTTACCTAATTATTTAAAATGTTAAGTTGTCCAAGTTCATATTTAAGAAATATATCAGATAATAACCAAAAGATGTTTTTTATTTATGAAGTAACATAAACATTTGAAATTTAACATCATTACTACATATAGCCAAAAATGCTAGCATTCTTCTCATAGAAAATTAACCATCATATAAAAATAAACATGAAATCTTTCATAAGGCATTCTAAAAGAAATTTCACCTTAGCTTCTTTATAGGAAGGCTATTATGAATCCTAAATTCATCAGATAAGATGAAGAAAAGCAACACCAATTAATTTCCATGAATACTTTGGATAAAACTACAAATATGCAGCTGATTAGAATTTCACTAGAAAAAAGTTCACATTTACAGATATCTCCTCTTAACAAATGAACACATTGTATTTCCTTTGTTTTTGTTAAGATATTAAATTACAATATTAATTCCTTGAAGCTGGGAATGACTTCTCTTATTATTCAATGTTTGGTGAGTATTAGACAGAAGCCTCAAAATCTGACAGGATTTATGGCTCATATTCCCAAATGCAAAAGTGTTCTTGAACAAGCTTAAGATAAACTACATAAGATAAACTACATAAATCTATCACTATTAACTATAATCAATAAAAAGCATGTTCATATTCAACATGCCAGGAACAAGAACTCCTGAACAATATTTGTGTGTCTTGACAACAGAAAGAAATGTATGTTCAGAGTAACAGCTTCAAAACACGACAACATTATTTCATTCTGAGTACAGATTTGTGACATGGAAGAAAAAATGGGTAGCCCTATAGGACATTTCCCAGTCTTATTAAATAGATTATCATTTTCTGACCAAACTGACTATAGAAAGATGAATGGAATCCAAAATTATGGTAAACATATTTACCTCCATCTAAACTCCTGGAGACTCTTTTACTAGAGGTGCGGTCAAAGTGTGGTGCAGGTCTGTCTATGAGGGTGCTTGCTTGACGAGTCTGTGCTTGTGTGCGGCCGCTGTAGCGGAATTTAGATCCCAAGGTCAGGAACTTAGCCTTTGGTGGCTGCTCTGGAGACACAAGTCTAGCAGAGAAAAGAAAAGAGAGCAAAACTAGGACTTTATTTTTCTAATGAAAAAGAATATTTATAAACTATTCTATATCCGTAGTTTTATGATAGTGACAAATAGGTATTTGTGCATCCCAGAATGTTTTTCTCAACCTGAGCAAAAGAGCAGCTGTTCTCTATGTGTATCAGGGTTATTTATTTGTATTGGCTTAAATCATTTATACAAACACATATGTCTGAATTCTTGCTTCTAGCTAAAAATCAAGTAAAAATCCATTACCGTTAGCAATTCTTAATATTTATGCCTCTCTCTGCTGGGGAAAAAAAAAAAAAAACACCTTAACTCAAGAATCTGTTCTATCAACTGATTCTTTCCCACAAAGAAGAGAACTTAAGCAAGGAGATCTTTAGAGATAACTAATCAGTTTCTTGCCAGCATAATTCTACTGTGTAAGCTCTGGGTTCACAATGAATGAATTCAAACTTCCTTCATGTCAAATTCTTCCAGATTTATACAAAAACATGTTTGTGCTAAACAAGCCAGTCTTTCTGGATAAAGCTTAAACTATCTTGCTTTCATAATTTGATCAAGAATCAATAAAATGTCTTCAGAAAAAGATCATCTCTGAGTTGTTAAATAATTTGTTAAATTTTAACTGACAATTCAAGAATGTGGAAAACTCTAACACTTTTACTATCATTTTCCAAGGAAGTGACACTCACTGGACACTATATTGAAAATGAACTATACAATTTGTAGGGGACAAAGGTCAGGAGGGAAAAAAATTAGGAGAAAATGAGGGAAGAGGTGACACACTGTCAAAAAAAAAGAACTGTACTCATTATCTGACTTATATAACTGTAAACCCCTCTGTATATCACCTTTACTATATATATATATATATATATATATATATATTTTTTTTTTTTTTTTTTTTTTTTTTTTTGTCCGTCATGGGGCTTGAATGCTGGGCTAGGTGCTGTCCATCAGCTCTTCAGCTCAAGACTAGCACTCTACCACTTGAGCCACAGTACTACTTCCTGTTTTCTGGTGACTTATTGGAGATAAGAGTCTCAGGAGCTTTCCTTCCTGGGCTGGCTTTAAATCTCAGCCTCGGAGTAGCTAGGATTACAGGGGTGAGCCACCAGAGCCCAGCAAAATTACAATGTTTAAAGTCATTTGTTGTATCAAGAATTTCTAGATCCTATTTTAGAAATATGCTTAGTCAACAAACAGCAGATTCTAGTCATGGTGAAGCTACATGTAGTAAATATGAGAGGCAGTCCTCAACCAACTCAGGAGTCAAAAAGTATTCAAAAAGGGTAACACTGACCAGGATGCACTGAATTCAGAAACTGTTTTGTTGTATGGGAAATCTTTTGCACAATTATTTAAATTTTAAAAACATATTCACCCAGATAAGCAGTATGCTAAAATTAAACTGATTTAAAAAAAGAAACTGAAATAAAAAAGCAGAAGTATTTCATATAACTTCTGTTTTCTGTGAGGAGATTTTTAAAGGAAATAGAGATCGTATTACCAATTAAGTATAGTCTCAAATTATACTTGGATAAAGGTACATACTCCCAAATTAAGATGCCAGATAGTATAAGGATCCTTATATAGATCATATCAGGATCCTTAGTGACATTTCACATTCTCTTTTCTCTAACACTTGAGGAACAAGACACAGAGGTTAAAAGTTAACTTATTCATGATCCTCAAATGTCATGAGTAACACAGGCAGAATGAGAAATGTATTTGTCTTTCACTATCTCCTTATGGAGTGAACACTGCCATTTCCTTGCCTATTAATGTAGGCATCTAAGCATGCCTTATAAGAAAGAAGCAATTAAAACGAAACATCTCTGGGAAGCTCATCCATAGAGCATTTGAGGAATACTCATTTGCTTTGAAAAGCAGGTTAGCCAAATCACATTCATCTTTGCTATCTGTTCATGAAGTATACTCTGTAGTTAAATGATCACTAGAGGAAAAAAGATAAATGTTTACTTCAGAGGAGAAATTCCAAACAAAAAAAAATTCCAAAACAAAATTTAAAAGCAGAAATAGGATGGCTGTTCTTTTGGAATTATGAAAAATAATTAATCAATATTTATATAAAGGATTGTATCTTTCTGAAGCTGTAATATTCTCCTTTTACAAAATGAATTTTAAAGAGTTCTCCTGCTTTAGAAAACAATCTTAAAGAAAATCAAGAAAACTTCCATTACTGTTTTCCAAACTAGAATTCTAATTATAGGCTTATTTGATGTCATTTCTTTTGGATCTGTACTAGGGTCTATGCATACTGTGTGGTTAATAAACAAAAAGGAAGACCTTGTTGTCTAATGTTACTTTAACTGTATGAGTACACCTGAACTAAAATATCAGGAGAGTCTATAAAACATGTCCACATACCCTCCTCCAGAATTTTCTTTGGGACAGAGCAAGAGAGAGGATTTCATTACATTGCTTAGGCTGGTCTCACATGCATAAATGCTCAAGTGACCCTCCCAAATAGCTAAAACTAAAATCACACACCACATACTCTAATACTCAGTGTTTTGTTTCCCTCTATCATATAGTCTCAGTGCTGTGCTCTCTTATGTCAGCAATTTAGAGGAGAAAAGTTGAGCCACCAGCCCTATAATTTCTGCCATATCACACGAACTTCTAGTTTTAATTTAATAAAGCATGAAGCAAGTAATAATGTAGTCATTTTGTAAAATAAAATTGCTGATTTTTGTTGTTTCCCCCACAACTCTGAAGGTAATTTCTCATTTATATCAGCTGGAATATGCAAGAAAAAATTCATATATCCATATATTTCTTGGCTTTTGTTGACAAAGGTAATGATTATGTAATTTGGTAGCCATTTAAGCTCATATAAGAATGATTACCCACTAAATGCTGTTTATGGGAAATATAAACTGAAGGAAAATATTTTCAAGCCAACTATATAGACCATGCAAAAAAAGGGAAGTCATAAAGTAGATATATTTTTGTTCTATTTACTTCAAATTGGGATAGTCTCTTATCTAACTGACACTTAAGAGCACAAATACAAAGTAATAGTTTATAGATTATTTTCCATGACAATCAGAGGGTGCAAGTTAAATAGAAATAAATATCCAGGAGATATCAAAAAGGACTAAATAAACATTAGCTTTCTCTAAAAGAATTTTTTTGTGCTTTAAGTCAGAAGTAATATAAATAAAATGTTTTAAGGAAATGCTGGCCAAGCCATAAAATATTACATTAAACTATTACATTGTCACATCAAGAACCCTTCATTATTTCCTTATTGAATCACTTTTACTTTCACATCCGTCTTGCAATGAAGACCCTATAGTCCTAAGAGTAACATCAAAACCACTACAAGGCTGTTGATCATTTCACTTTTGATAAGACAAAACCTATGAAGAGAGTACTAACTTTTTCAGATATTAAAGGCCTTGAGCAAGATAATCTAAGTAATGATGTATCAAAAAGGAATTTAACTTTCACATATACTGCTACTTAAGTAGTTATGTTAACATTTCAATTTTATATAATCCTACCATAATACATTATGTATCATTGTTGGCTATGGAAAATAAAGACCATTTTAAGAGAAACTTACATATAAATTACTAAATTGGGGGCTGGGAATGTGGCTTAGTGGTAGAGTGCTTGCCTAGCATGCATGGAGCCCTGGGTTCCATTCCTCAGTACCACATAAACAGTAAAAGCCAGAAGTGGTGCTGTGGCTCAAGAGGTAGAACGCTAGCCTTGAGCACAGAGAGGGTCTAGGACAGTGCTCAGGCCCTGAGTTCAAGCTCCAGGACTAGCAAAAAAAAAAAATTACTAAAGTGAATCATAACTAGTGCATAGGTTCCCCATAGCTTTCTATGATACAGCTGATAACATTAATACCTAAAATTTCTGTGGCTCTATACAGCCAAATTTAAGTCACAGTTTAATATACACCTAGAAAAACCTCATGTTTCTCTCTTGTTCACTACCTAAAAAAGCAGGTGGAAAAGACATACTCACTGCAATAATAACTGGGCAGTACAGCACTGCAGGCACTCTGAAGTAGGTTTTAAGAGTGTCATATTACCTGGGTTTGAATTTCTTCTCCATTGGTTACAATCTACCATGTTTCTTAACTTCTTCATTCTTCTATTTCCATATGAAAAGTGTAGATAATAGCAATCTTCTCATTAAATTATATTATAAAGAAAAATTAAAAGAAATCCCTGTACATCTCTTTGAATGATGGCAGCCTCCAGCAAATGACCAAGCAAAGAAATAGCTTCATTATTATATTCTTGTTCCACTAATATAAAGCTAGATGATTGATTATCAGTGAATACAAAGATCTGTTTGTTTTTTAATAGGTACAATCTTCAAGCCTGGTAAAATTTTCTAAAGAAGTCATTTGTACCTTTTGTGAAAAACTGAAACAAAGGCATCCACTGATCTAACTTCATTCTGTAGAGACACGTTTTGCTTTCCCTACTGTTTTATATAGCTTTAGAATCATTACATGTCATATAAAGTTTATCAAAAACATTGATACCTACTACCACAAAAGTTGACAGGAACAAACTGGAGTCTGTGGTTATTAGTAAAAAGCATGTAGGGCCCAATGTAGCACATCTCAGAAACTGCCTAGAAGCGTAAAAAGACAGATGGCACAGAAAGGCCTATGGGCATATGAGTTCCAAGCCAGGTTCCGACCTCTGCTTGAGTGCCTGGTTGTTATTCTCCTTCACAGGCACCTACTTTCAGGTAGCAGCTTCCTTCACTGGGGTAATAGACAAATGAGATCATACAGTATAAAGTAATAAATCCTCAGAGGAGCAGACAGGGTGAGTAACTTAATGATAATTACACAGCTAATATGTGGTAAGCATTAGAACCAGTCCAAAACAGAAGTCTTAAAAATAAGCTTGATATAAAGTTCTTCGACTACAGTGACATAAAATGAAAGAAATGATGGTAATCAAACTATTGTTGAAAAATATACTCTAAGAAAAGTATGAAAGAAGAAAAGACAGAAACAAAAGGTGACTAGCTTAGAGCTCAATGGAGATGATCTCGGCATTGAAAAAAAAAAAAAAAAGCAGCCAGGTGCCAGTGATTCACACCTGTAATCTGAGCTACTAAGGAGGCTGAGATCTGAGGATCGCAGTTCAAAGCCAACTGGGGGCAGGAAAATCCATGAGACTCATTTTCAATTCACCACCAGAAAACCGGAAGTGGCACTGTGGCTCAAGTGGTAGAGCACTTGCCTTGAGCTGAAGAACTCAGGGATAGTGCCCAGGCCGAGTTCAAGCCCCACAACTGATTAAAAAAAAAAAGAAGAAGCAAAACACAGAAAGCAAAGGCATCTACTAGAAAATACACAATTTGTCAAGCAGGGTCCTTTTGAGTGGCACAAAATGAAGAATTAAGAAAAAAAAGTATCCTTTCCTTAAGACAGGGAAATGAGTAAAGAGAAGGATGGCAAGGGAAGTGATACTAAATTAAACACAAAAAGGGAAGAGAAGGTCATCAACAGTAGACTACTCTTGACTCGCAGCTTGTCTTTACAATACGTTACACGATGGAAGAGCACTTGAGGAGAGGAAGTAGACGGGGGATTCAAAAAGAGGGCAAAGGAAGTGAAAAGACTGCTTGCTTGCCTACATGCATTAAGGATCTTGCTAATGCTAGAAAGTATTTCTCTGGAATTTCACTGATGCGCAGAGTTGTTCTATGCTTCTGTTATAAAGAAGAAGTATCACTATGGAGTACTGATTAAAGTAGCACTTGACAGCAGAGTATGTAAGGCCTGAGGTCAGAACATAGGAGTAATACAGAATCAAAAGACTGGAAAAGTTGGTGTTCAAAGAGGGTAGAGACTTGAGGAGGTTCAAACACTTTTATAAAGCTGCCTGCTCTCTCTCCTTTTTCCTCGTTGGACCTGTGGAAGCAAGATGGGTCACCAGCAGCTCTACTGGAGTCACCCCCGAAAATTCGGCCAGGGATCTCGCTCTTGCCGCGTGTGCTCTAATCGCCACGGTCTGATCCGGAAGTACGGGCTCAACATGTGCCGGCAGTGTTTCCGCCAGTATGCGAAGGACATCGGCTTCATTAAGTTGGACTAAGTGAATGGACTATCCAAGACTTCACACCCAATGAAAGACCATATTTGTACATAAAATAAAAATTCAGGAAGCCTTTAAAAAAAAATAAATAAAGCTGCCTAACAAGATCACAAGTCTCAAATTGGTTTGAGAAAGAAACTGAGTCAAGAGGAATTAAGAATAGTTATAGCTAAGATGAATGATGGTAGCAGGTATGGAAACTGCAGAAACTGATTATAGCTCAGTCTCAACAACAGAACACTTGGAGTGGACTACAAGTTACAGATAAGATATGGAACCAAGGAGTACCAAGAACCCTAAGGCAAGGAGTTAAGGCATCTACCATACTGGCCTCTATCACCTCTTAATTCACAGATGGAACCAAGAGCAATTCCAAGATTCCATGTTACCTGTAGAAAGTATGATGCTCCACACACACTTTCCATAGCCTTTTCGCTGCCCGATGGTTTGGTAGTTTGAATCCAATGGTGCTCTCAAATTGTTCCAGCTGGAATAAATCATAAAATAATCAGCATATATCCTTAAGCACTGATTAGAAGTTATTGATAAACATGCACTCATTTGTTTATGGAAGAAGTAATTATACAGGAAAGTAAGTGTTAGTGTAATCTAGTCAGACAAAACCAATTTTTCCAGCAGGGCGCCAGTGGCTCATACCTATAATCCTAGCTACTCAGGAGGCTGAAATCTGAGGATCGTGGTTCAAAGCCAGCCCGGGCAGGAAAGTCCGTGAGACTCTCATCTCCAATAAACCATTAGAAAACCGGAAGTGGAGCTGTGGCTCAAGCGGTAGAGTGCTTGCCTTGAGCTGAAGAGCACAGGGACAGTGCCCAAGCCCAGAGTTCAAACCCCACGGAAAAAAAAACAAACCAATTTTTCCATAGGTTTAATATGAAAGTATTACCTATTCATATAGAGACTATTCTTCACTTCCCACCAAAATGGATTACATCATCTTTCTATTGTTTACCATCACTTAGCAGAATTATCATCAAGAATCCCACATTCCATGTCATAAAATGCACAATACTTGTGAAAAAAAGTGAAAAGTGAAGAGTGAAAAAAGAATTCATTAAACTCTCCTGCCAGTAAAGGAGAATACTGACAAATGATTAAGTATGCCAAGGACATTTCTTACCTCTGCAGGTCTAACTTTAATGTAGAAGTTACTGCGCTTATAGGAAATTTTCAGGATTTTCGGCCAAGCAAAACGATTGATTCTCAGTCTGTCTTTGTAAATGAGGAGGCCATTAGCACAAACGCCCAGCTTGATGTCCACACCTTCTGAGTCCTGTCAGGCAAAGCACATTTGGCCACAATTAGAACTGGGAGGTCACACAGATTAGAGAGCCCCACAAACAATGGTTAAGAGTGCATTAACATGCTTGTATTTAAATTTTAGTGACAGTATAACGTTAATGCCAATAACAGAAGACATATACATCCTAATATATTCGTCTTCAAGAATAGAGTTGGATTTGCCAAAATTCTGCAACATGACTACAGGAAAAACTATTCCTAAAAAGGCATGATTCATAGGTTTTCAAACTCTGTTGAGAGCCAACAAAGAAAGAAAGCAATTAGATTTAGATTTCTTGAAGAGATAAAAAATTAAATGTTTTTCTGGAGACTACTTCACTACTCAGAGGTAGTCTTTTGGCCTTCCCTAAGGTACATTCAGACATTTTACCTTAAGGAAATATATCTTAAGATCAATTATGTTATCTGACAGCTACTAAAATTATCCCTACATTTTATACCATACCAATTCATCACAGAAAATTTATCTTCTTTGCTGATAGTACTAAAATTTCTGAATTCTTTCAAGCAATTTTTCAGTCACTTAAGTGCTGACATCTAGTTCTCACTAAGCATTCTGTTGGCTGGCATATTTCAAAGGATTGTAGACCATTTTTTAAGTTACTAAGTTTTTTCTCCAGAACCTTAACTTAAAATATATGACAAGCTAGAACAATCACAAGTCTGAAAGATTTTTTTACACCAAAGAAATTTACACAAAAGCATGAAAAACTATCTCCTCTTATTTCAGATAATGCTGAAGACTTAAAATACACAATATTCAAAATACAAAAATAAATGTTTATCTTTGAACAGAGAGGATATCTCTTTCATAATAAGTGAAATTGAAAAATAAAATTTGGAGGTATTCACATTTTCAGAATTCATCAACATGAAACAATTTCTTAGAAAAAGATTAAGACAAGTACCATATTTAGTCTAAGTCCTAATTCAATTTTTATAGACTGGGTCTTAATTTGACTGACCTATTAGTAAGAATGATTTCATACAAATTATGTTAGTTTTTTAAAACAGCAGTACAAAACCAGGCAATTGATAGCAATTTCTTTCTTTGCTGTAATATTTGAATAACTCATATACAAGTACACAAAATTACCTTAGACCAACTTGAGCAGGTTAAAAAAAGAAGAAATCTATCCTATCGAACTTTAGTACTCATGTCCTGGCAGCTCCAGATCTCTCTAGGAACAGCAGGGAAAGCTAGAATGAATCATGCATAGGTGCCTAAGAAACTTGGCATTAGAATGGAAAGAATGTGTTTGCCAAAAACATCTCTGCACATGGCCAGAAAGGGATGACAAGAGATGGCCCAAGACACCAAGTTCTCACTGCAAGTGAGAACAGAAACCTCATTTGAAACACTGAACAAAGCCACCCATCGCCTGAAACAATCTTTACACAGAACAAGGAACTTGTTTTGCCTGACTTAAAAATGAACATCAGGCCGGGCGCTGGTGGCTCACGCCTGTAATCCTAGCTACTCGGGAGGCTGAGAACTGAGGGTCATGGTTCAAAGCCAGCCCATTCGGGAAAGTCCATGAGACTCTTATCTCTAATTAACCACCAGAAAACCGGAAGTGGTGCTGTGGCTCAAGTGGTAGAATGCTAGCATTGAGCTGAAGAGCTGAGGGACAGTGCCCAGGCCCAGAGTTCAAGCCCCATGACCGACCAAAAAAAAAAAAAAATCAATCATAAAGTAAACTGGTTTATTTTTGGTTGTTCCACATAAGTGCTTTAGAGTTATCAGCATTTGTGGTAACAGAAATTACAGATAAAAGGTATTTAAGAGAAAAAAAAAAAAAGCATCCCTTAATCTCGCCTGAGTTCAAATAGTCAGGGAAATGACCTCATGCTCCTTCCCTCAGCCTTCTTTTTCACCATCCTTCAAGGAAGCTGCCCAGTAAGGATGCCAACACACCCACTGCTTCCCAGTGGTTTTCTTGATGAAAGCACAAAACTAGCTGGGCAAGATGGGACATATTTATAATCCCAGTATTTGGGAGGCAGAGGAGTAAGAATCAAATTATCGAAGGCCAGCCTGGACTACAAAGCAAAAATTGATCTGAAAAAAATAAACATTCAAACACACAGACACAAAAATAAAACAAACTACATAAAGTTATTTTAAATTGCTATACATATTCTGTTTTATAAGCCACAAATATCTTTCTTATCAAATAACTTTAACATGATAAATAGAATGTTCTGCTATTAACTTCACAGTAAGAACTGACATCTTATAATGGACCTTCAATTTTTTTTTGTTTTCTTGTAAACCAGAAAACAGTAACAAAATATAACTATAAAACTTTGTACTATAAGATGTACAAGAAGCTATGTCAAAAAATAAACTTTAGGGCTGGGAAGGTGGCTCAGTGGTAGAGCGCTTGCCTTGCTTGCATGAGGCCCTGGATTCGATTCCTCAGCACCACATAAGCAAAAAGAAAAAAGCCGGAAGTGGCGCTGTGGCTCAAGTAGTAGAGCGCTACCCTTGAGCTGAAGAGCTGAGGGACAGCGCCCAGGCCCAGAGTTCAGGCCCCACGATTGGACCTCCCCCCCAAAAAAAAGAAAAAAAGAGAAAAACAAACTAACAAAGAAAGAAAAACAAACTTTACAATTTAGGCAGGGGGAGGGGGGTGAGAAGGGGAGTGGGAGGGGCTGTAGCTGAGGAAGTAGAGGAAGCCAACAATGCTGGATAAGAAATGTACTCATTACCTTGCTCATGTAACTGTAACCCCTCTGTACAGTATTTTCACAATAAAAAAACTTAATTAAAAAAAACACATAACTGTAGTACTGACATCTAAAAATTAGTTCCTAACTAATGACTCACAAAAGTAGAGAGAGGAAAGAACAAGGTCTTGGGGTATAACTCAAGTGGTAGAGTACATCCTTAGCAAGTTTTAGGCCCCAAATCCAAACCTCAGCACCCCTACCTCCCTGAAAAATTACACACAGCAATATTAACAGGTCTTAAAGAAGCAGAGACAGGCTGGATGTGGAGTCTCTGTTTACAGATCTATTGCTCTCCTTACTGTTTGCCTTGTGGCTACATCCTTCCTGTTTGCCTTGTGTGCTTACATCATAGAAAATGAGCTGAAAAATACTCAAGGTTAGGAAGATCAACTGGACCTTCTAGTAGGATTAATCAGATTGAGGTTATCCTTTTCACTGTTTTAGGTAGTTATAAAACATATTCAAATGTTAAACAAGATGGTATGTCAAAGTATTTTCAAAGATTAAAGTTGTATTATAATCTAGGTAAGATGTCACTGGTGTGTCTACATACAGACTAGTTTCTGACCTTGGAATAAAAATATGCAAGTAAAATTGCAAGTTAAAAAGAAATCTAACAAAAATAATAACTTGTAATATGGCCTTATTTTATAGAGGCATCATCATCAACTCAGTTTTTTGTTGCTCTTTTTTTTTTAGGAAAGCAAGAGCTGGGCACAGTGACTATATCTGTAATCCTAGCTACTTGGAAGGCTAAAATAGGGAGGATCACCATCAGAGGCCAGACTAGGCAAAAGGTCCACAATATCTCCTGACCAATAAAAAGCTGGCCATGGTAGCAATATGAGAAGTAAATAGGAGGATCATGATCCATGCCAAATAAACACAAGAACTTTTTCTGAAATAACAAAAGACAAAGGGGTAAAATAAATTGACAGAGTGTTTTATAAAAACCTACAAAAGGGTAATAATTTTAAAAGACTAGGAAAGGAAGAAAAAAGAGAGAGGAACAAATGGTCCCTCCCTACATCTAACATCATAATAATAATTGTTACTGAAGAAATATTACAGAGATCATCAAGCCAAGGCAAACGGCTTGTTTCTCAAGGTAAAATAAGCTACTGAAACTGGAGCCTTCTTGAAATGTCACTCAATATATTGGAATGATGCTAGTTTCCATTACACTGACAATACCTTGGCATGATGTAGGTCAACACCATACATGGAAAGCCTCTTTGCATTTTCTAAGAACTGAGAATCAGCTTGTGCTGGAGATAAGCCCCTGAAAATGAATAAACAAACAAAAAACAGAATTATCTTATGGGTAGATGCAAAGCAAATATACTCAGAATGGAAGGAGGGTCATGTGGGCTCTTACATTGGAATACACACAGTAACAAGGTTAAGTATGCAGAAGAGCAGACAATAGGCAAGAACATTCAACTTTCCAACTCAAGATCTTTTCATCTTAACCTGTCCATTGCAAGGAGGCAGACCTCAACCATTATCCTTATCTGAAAATGTTCCTTTGTCTTATTTCCACTAGAGTACAGCATAGAAGAAAGTTAACTGAGAATTTAAAAAGTGATTGAAGCTTCTAGAAAAAAATTAAAAAGTGAGTTCAAGTTTCTAGATAAAATCTATGTAAGGAATTTCAGTACCTAACATTTCAAATTAAAATTATATAGTAACAGTACAAAGTAAAATTTAAATGAATAATAATAAAATACTACAATTAATAATAAAATATTACCATTTTTAATTTAAGTCAATGTATTTGGTCCATTTAACAACTGAATTTCTGAAAGTTCCTGTCAAATCATTTGCCATATTTTAGAATACTAGTTTTGCAATTTTGTGGCTAATTATATAACCTTGTATTAAACATCAATTTTTGTAGATATAAAAATAATGGAAGTGTACATAGTACTAAAGTAATCTGAGTAATCATTATTAAACCAAAGGTTCAGCTTCTATAGATAGAACCACTTAAACATTTCAGTTATTATTCCTATATCCATGACTACCTACATTTCCAGTTCAAATCTATATGCCTTATCATCTTCCTGGCTTTTTAATCAAATACAATAATAAAACCAAAAGATGGAAAAAATATGAAGCAAATTCCAAATAGGTAAGTAGGTGTGTGTGTTTACTGTGTATGTGTTTATGGATGGCACTGGGGATATAAGAACATATCATATAGAAAATTTTTTTCAAAATATGAAGGCATTTGGTTTCAAGAATACAGCTTCTTATATTACAGACATAAAAGAATTGAAAGGGTACATATAAAGGGCTGTGTGAGTCTTGATCAGTACTAAGTGAGGCACCAAAAAGAAAAACTGCATGATCCCTCAAACTGCCACATCATCAATCAAGTGTTCCAATCATTTAACTGTGCGATGCCGGCCTCTCCAGCAATCAAGTCAGCACACCTGTGGGTTTTATGTAGCTCAGCCACTTTCTCTTCCAACTCCTTAGTCTGATTGGAGGCAAACTGGAAATCACTGAGGTCAATACTGCCATGCTCTTCTGAGTCATAGTCTCCAAGTTCAGCCTGCAGTGTGTAGGATCCCAAAAGAGCATGAGTCACAAAGGAACAAGGCAGGCGGCCAGAGGCAATGTCCTGCCGAAGCTGAAGGCACAAGAAGTATCTGTGAGAAGCAGAGAAAGAAAAAGGTTGATGAGAACAATTAGTATCCTAGCATTCATAATTCCTTAAATTCTAACATTGCTTTGAAAACAAATATACCTTCTTGACATACTTTTTATCTATAGCCATACAGTCTTCTCTAGTAAGAAAGCTCATCTTTCTCCTTGGATTTGTGGCTTACTTATAATTGAAACTAAGTCCAGAACGCCAACTGAATCAATAGAAATTCTGAACTGCTATTCTGGCAATATTTAAGTCTACAGCTGATACTACAGCATAAAATACATGGTATGGTACCAGGGAATCAATACCTGATAGTTATAATAACAATATCTATTTCTCAGTCCATGATCGAGTGTACTATTATACCTATCATAAATGAATGGCTGCTTCCCACTAAATTAACATGCAAAATAATGAGATTTGTGTTGTATGGGAGTTGGTTTTTTCAGCCCCACCACCAAATTATTTTTTTGATATTTTAAAATCTGATTCTAATATCAAATATCACCATTTGCTAAGGTCTCCACCAACCTCCCTAAAATAAAATGGCAGCATCCTGATTTTTAAGATGTTTTATAGAATCTATTATGCCTCCTGGCAACAGGACATCTTCTTCCTGTGGAGATATTTGCATAGCCTGGATTTTGAGGGCTCCCTGTCTTCCTTGATCACTACCAATGGAATCAAGTGGCCTCTGATGCAAGCCTCATTGCTTGTGACTCAGAGAAATTCCACCACAGCATTACAGTTCAATTCAGTTCTATTCTATTTTACTACTAAGTCTATCAGCAGACTCTTTTTATCATCTCATAGTTTCACAGTAACCAAAGTACATGCCATAGTACTGAGAAGAACTCAGGTTTTTTTGAGAAAATAAAAATCTTCTCACTGGTACCACAATCTGGGTATTTCTCAAGCTCTGTATTGCTTCCTTGACCTCTAGGAACAATGTGAACCCAATTACACTTACGTTAGAAAAGTAAATTTTAAACTGTAATTCCAGGGTATCCTTCAAATTCCTTGATGAACAATAATGCTAGTTCTCCAAGTCTTATGGCACTTTGAAACTTTGAAATGCTTTCTTTCTATTGTTTCTTTTTATATTGTTTATATTTTATACTTTATATTGTTTTCATATTATTGTCTCTACATCTCACATTGGTCCTTTCCTGTTTCAAACCCTTACTCAAATCCTAAAAAACTTCGAACAAAAACTGACAAGCACATTCTCAATTTCCCAGCTCCATTCTTCAGACACCAGTGGCCTGCCTCTTCAAAAGCTTGCCCCATCTTCTAAATGTTCACTCAAGTCACAGCGGAAATCTCAGTCACTGAGGCTGCCAGTCCCAAGTATAGTCAGATGACTGGTCTCCTTATACCACTGAGGCCTTTAAGTAATCATAACAACCTCTAATTCCTGGTACCACAGCAAGAGCCTGCTCAAGCCCTATTTATGGATGCAAAATAGTAGTTGTCACCATAGGATTAACAATCCTATTACCCCTCCAATAAGTAACTAACAGGAAGAATGCGAGTACAGAAAGGGCATTGGGCCACAAATCCCCATTCCATGCACAGTTCACACATTCCCTCAATGAAGGTATCTTCCACACTCCAACCTGTCGAGAGTTTATAAGCAGCTCTCTGTGCTGTTACAAAGGCTTCTGTTTACTATGTAATAGCTAAAGCTAATTCAATCAGAGGAGAATTAGTATATTAGTAGCAATTAACTTAAAGTACCATGGCACATTCCTATTCAGCAACAAGTGGCAAAGGAAGAAAAAACACAGGCATCTTATTTTTCCAACCCTGGAAAGAAATTTCCTTCAGTCTTAACTCACATTGATATTATACACTTCTTAAATTGACTATATAACTTGGTGTATCGAAGTACCAAAGGCACAGGAACTAGAGACAAGCAGAGTCTTTCACTGAGACTCCCTTGTTTCCTAAAAGTACGTACTCAACAGTCTTCCTTGGACATATGAATAACTTCTAAATACAGAAGTGCCATTTACACTTTTAACAAAGCTTTCAAGAAGTCCTATCACTTCCTCAGTCTACTAGAGTTAAAAGATCGAGGAACTTGATGATTCACAGTGCTCTCTGATTACCACTCAAAAGATACAGCTACTCAGGATCAGAAAAAGCTCTCTTGCTCCTAAACTGAATCCTCTATTTGCAGTTTCAACACATGATCTTATAGCCCACATGATTTCAGAGGAAATAAAAATAAAACAGCTACTCAACTTCCATGAGAAAGTCTACCCAGTTAGTTTTATGAGTTATTGTTTTATTGTTCTTTGAGATAGAACAGTAAATTAAAGGGAAAAATACTACTAAGTAATAGACATTTAAATTTCATTTCACTTATTTACCTAATATGAGGTTAAATATAAATATTTATCAATTGTATATACAAGGCCAGTATACAACACACGTTATATAATAAAAGCCATCTTAGCATTAGAATCTCAAACACTAAATACCAGTGCCTTTTGAAGGTACAGCAAAGTTGCCAGCAGTTTCATCTTTTTTTTTAATTACTCAAAAATAAAAAGAGAAACTAAAGAAAAGTAAAATATTTGAAATTAGCAATACTTAATACTATTGGGGAGAACCTCATTTCTAAAGAAACTTATTTAAAAATCGCTTTGATTTCCAATCTTGACATTACCCAGAGAAATAAAAGAATAATAAAAAACATTAATTTCAAAATATAAATTTAAGATACTTACCTGGTGATATCTTCAGTAAGTTGAGAAGGATCAGGAGGATAAAATTTCACGTTAAAAGTGAACAGCCAGGGAAGATCTATAATTATGAAACATCATGGTTATTTACAAAACAATGGTTTATTTATCCAAACAACTAATTATATTGATTTAACAACCACTTATCCCACTGTAAACCAGTTTGAGTTTTCTTAGAGGACATGATTATTACAATAAAACAAAACTGAAACAAAAAATTAGTAACCACTATTAAATAAGAGTAAGAGATGGGGCATGATGGTGCACACTTATATCCTCTGTACCCAGGACTTTGATCTCAGCCTGGGCTACACAGTAACATCTATCGCAATAAATAAGTGAATAATAGTATCACTTTTGAAAAAAATAAATACTTAGTGGTATATGTCAATGAGTGTTTTGCTTAATAATGTATTATACACAAAAAGTTAATATATCTTCCAGGTAATATTTGTATTTAAGATTTGCTTTGCCCAAACAATTTCCAGTATTCTTCACTCATTTAAAAAAAATTAGAGTCAGACATGGTGATACATGACTGTTATCTCTGCATTTAGAAGAAAAAAAGGATCTCAAGTTCAAGATTTAGTGTATCTAGCAAAATTCTGTCTCAACAAATCAGAAGCTGGGGATACTTCAGTGATACAGAGATATAGTACTTACCTAGCATGTATAAGGCCCTGGGTTTAATTCTCAGCATGACCAAAAATACATTAAAAAATAAAATTTGGAGGAGTCCTATATTGTTGCAAGAAGGGAAATAATGACCAAGTGATCACAATAATTATTCAGGTATTACAAGGATCCCAAGGAAAGGAATATTTGGTAAAACTTCAAAATATTTAAAGAAAAAACAAAATCATTTCCCATGATTTATAGAATACAAATTGGTATACAACATACACTTTGCCAGCAACATTGAATATGTCAAGCAACCTATGCTAATACTGTTATTTATATACTAACTCTATTGATATATTTTGGTTGGTTTAAAAGAAGAAAAAAAAGTCCAAGAAAGAGAGAGATCATTTTCCTAAAAGAACCTAAATAATTCTGCTAGCCTGAATTTAGAATTCTGCTAATAATATTTTTAATTAAAAACTTGTATGTGTGTGCATATGTGTATACACTCACATTTAAGTTTGCCTATACTATTTATGTTAGGCCTCATGAGATTATTAGTTTACACACTTGAAAATTTCTTCTATCTCATTTTCTCATTTGGTGTTTCCTGTCCATCACCATTGGTACACTACCTTTTCTCCCGCTCAAAAGTCAACAGATCCTTAGTAGGTGGCTACTATGTACATAACATACTTCCAGCAGAACTCTAGCTCAATACATTTGTGCTATACTAATAAAGGCAACCCTGCTCAACTCTAGAAACACATTTCAGTTTTGCTTTTTATCTTTAAGACATAATAATGGGATATAAGACCTTCCTAAAATGGAGAAATATGGTATTTCTTGGTCTATAATACATGCTGACTTCATTAACTATCTATACACAAGCATTCTGAGGTGACTGCTAATCCATAATCAAGCAAAGTCATCACAGGATTATCGTTTCTTAATGGACTCTTGTTTATTTCCTAGGTATTAACACTACCATATGCTTGCCTTGATATGGCTACAGACACGTTTCTAGTAGAACATTTACATTTTAGAATATTATTTCCAAACTCCAATGGTATTTTGACAATATTTTATGTACTTATGATATATAATATGTGTGAAATATGTACATGTGAAATGGCTAAATTGAATTAATTTACCTCACTTTTTTGTACTAAAAACCCTTAATTTGCAGTTTCAAGCTACACTTCTAATTCAATTACATACTATGCCTAATTTTACCTAGCTATGTATAAACAAACTAGCTAGAGTTATTTATATACTAATCATATGCAAATGTTAGACATACCGTCTAATATGCGTAGTTTTTTTTTAAAGTATTTCAAGCCAACTATTTATCTTTGCTAATTGCTTTTGGCTTTAGGGTAACAAAAATCATAAATAGAAACTGAGGAAATAACATAGAAGAGTTGAAAGAAAGTTCTTTCATATATCTTAACACAAGTAGAAAGAAGTCAATATAAGGACTAAAACTACATTTTCTACCTGTGCCTCCTTTCATGATGAACTCCAGCAGTTTAAAAAGCCAGATTCTATTTGTTACTGTTATTTCTCTGGCCAAACCACAAGGGCAAAAGTCCTGAAAAAACTTTAATCAAAACATAATCTGATTTATAATCAGCAAGAGTTTTGTCTTCAAAGAGCTTTCCCAACACTTTCTCTGTAGCTTTCTTAAAAGTCTTTAAACTTTTTTAAATGCTTCTTCCCACCCCCAAGATGATATCCAACAGAAAAGAGCTGTGAGTTAAAACAAGTGTACATACATAATCAAGAGCCAAAACCAAACCAAAGGGAACAATCAGATTTTGGAGAGTGTCCTGTTCTATGATTATCCCCTGGCAGGTCTAGTTTCCATGAAAGTATTAGAACCAAGCATAACCTCATCTTCCTGAATGCATGCACTTTGCTATTAGCATGTAACAACTACAGAGAGGACAAAAGAAAAAGTTCTAAAGATTTCTGATGCAGTTTCTTCCATAATGTCATTACGTTGTACCTGTATTTACTTATACCCACCCCTTCTCTTATCATGAAACAAATATACAATATAAATATAGATTTAATATGATGGATATAAATGGGTAAAACATAAAGCTAATAAAAAGAAAAGAAAAGAAGAAAGAAAACAGATGCTTGAAAACCAAGAATAACAGTAAAAGATAGGGTGGCTAATAATGCCACAACCATGCCAGGCTGCATGGGACACTTGGAGTGTTAGCACTAAAAATGCCATATCCTAAGAAACTCCTCCATTCTGAGCAAATAAGGTATTTAATAAAATGGGGTTAAGGTAGGGAATGTATCTGTAAGAGAGGAAAAGGGGAGAAAAATGTATGATCAAAATAAAACACCAAAATAGTGAAGAAATGATAGTAATACTAAAATCAATAATTGGAGATAGAAAAAGGAATGAATAAAAGATCCTCAAACTAGATGTAGATGAAAAGGATGAAAAAAGCATGTATAGATTTGTTTCAGTGTTTTGATATTAGAAACACAATCAAACTTACAAACCGTCCTGCATTTTGAAGGTTAGTTCTCAGAGAAATGGCTTCTCCCTGCACAGCTCTCAGGCCCACAATCTCAAAGGAGTTATTTAGGAATTTACCATCTTTCCAATTCTGTTTTATAGTGAAAATACCTTATCCCACATGACTCACTTGCCTTCTCTGCTTCAGTCCTCTACTGTTGTAAGAGATTTCTCTGAGTAAATTAGAGATTTCACTATGTTGATAACATTTCTTTGCACTGTTTTCACAGCAAGGCAATCTACAAAGACATATCCTATAAAGGTGGCGGGGGCTGGTTAAAAGGAGCACATGATGTCAAGGTTGGAATTCAATGAGAAGAAATAGGGAAATGAGAACAAAAGAATAAGAGAACCTAATAAGAAAATCCAGCCTCAAAGAGCATGTAAAGTGGACCTGGACAAAGAACAAATGGGCTGCAGAGAAGTTGGTGACATAAAGAATTGAAAAGATTATTCTGCTTTCACCCCTCAAGTCCCACTCTAGTACAACTATAAAGAATGGATCACATGTCTGAGGCTTAAGATATGCTTATCAACTAAAACCCATACTTCCAAGACAAAGTAGACAAAAATACTTTATTAGGTCTACCTAGAGTAAACCTTCTCAAAGAGAAAGTGATAAATAATAGTAACAAAATAAACATTTACAATTTTTTAAAATTGTAGCCTTGAACTCAAAACCTCAGCCCAGAGCTTCCTAAGTATTGGGACTATAGGTCACATCTGGCTAAACAGTCACATTTCTATAAATATATCACATATGTTTGTGTGTGTATATGATCTATAGATCTATATATAGATATAGATCACATCTATATGAGTATCATTGACTTGAGGTGGTGTATATGCCAAACAAAACTGATGATTTTATTACTTTATTATTAGTCTAGTCTATTTTATTAAAGATGGAAATAAACAGATGTGAAGATTTAATTTCAAGTATAATTATTTAAATACTCACTTCGAAGTTGTCTCTTTATTTCTTTTGCAGGATCTAGCCAGTTCTGCAGGAGAGAGGATAAAGGCTAATTATTATAAGGAAATAAAAATAGAATACAGTTTCTTACATACATCCTGACACAGATACAGACAGACAGACACACACACACACACACACACACACACATACACACACTAGTACTACGACTTACATTGGGCCCGAGCCCTATTCCTTAGGTTGTTCACTCAAGGCTGATATGCGCTACCACTGGAGCCACAGATCCACTTCTGAATTTTTGGTGGTTAATTGGAGGTAAGAGTCTTATTTCCCTGTATAGGTGGGCTAGCTTTGAATCAGGATTCTCAGATCTCAGACTTCTGAATAGCTAGGATTATTATACCAACACTCAGAAAATGTAACTGTACTTTAACAAAGTTGAATTCAAACCAATTTTCAATTTTCATCTGTTAATATTCACTGTTACCATTTTCTGTGTAGTATTAAATATTTAAGTATGTTTAAGGTGAGCTCTGTGTCTAATTTTCTTATATATGAAAATCAAACATCCAAATAATGATATATACTATATGCACATAAAATCTTTGAACAATTGACAAGAAACACCATTGGACAATGAAATGAGGGTTCTTTACCAATTGTTCTTATATTCAAGAAAGATAAAATATAAACTAGAAACCATTAACTAAAATTATAAATGCCAAATCAAGTACAATTTTCTCAATTTTACAACCAACTCTCCCTTCTCTTTTAGCCTCTAAGCTACAATACACTATGCTGAAAAGATATTGCCAGAGGGAATATTCTCCTTTCTGGTCTTTAATAAATATCTTTCTTGCTGGGCTTGATGGTGCACTTCTGTAATCCCAGCACTCAGGTTGAGTCAGGAGATTCCAAGTTCAGGACTAGGTTGAGCTACATAGAGTTCTCAATCAACATGGGCTACATAATAAGACTCATTCTCAAAAAAAAAAAATCTTTCTTTTAAACCTCTTTGAAACTGAAAATCACAAATAAGCAATTCACTTTTTTTGTTCAGGCGTGGAGAGTGCCATGGGGCTTGAACTCAGGGCCTGGGTGTTGTCCCTGAGCTCTTTTGATCAAGACCTAGTGCTCTACAGCTTTGAGTCACAGTACCACTTTTTGGTTTTCTGGTGGTTAACTGGGGATAAGGGTCTCACAGACTTTCCTGCCCAGACTGGTTTTGAATCGGGATCCTCAGATCTTAACCTCCTGAGTACCTATGATTATAGGCTTGAGCCACCAGTGCCTGGATGGAGCTTTCATTTGCCCCTAATTCCTTCTCTTTAAAAAAAACAACAACACATGTTCAAAAGACAAACAAAAATAGCAAATATGAACTACTAGGTTGAAGGTACCTAAAGACATCATCCTTATAAACAATGGATTTCATTTAAAAACAGTATTTCTTCCAGTCCCACAAATCAATACTAAAATTTCTTAACCTTACTAATATAGAACAATTCAATTTCTGAGATACAATAAATTGATTCAAAATTGATTTTCCAATAAAGAAGTTTGATACACTCTAATAAGTATCCCACAGAGTAGAACACCTGTGCTTAAACAGAATTTTGTTCAAAGATATAAAGCAAACAAAACATTGTTGCATAGGAGACAAAAACTTTCTTAACAAAATATTGAAAGACAACAAAAATATGACTTTATACTATTAAAAAATAGTAACACAGCATGCTTTGAAAGTAAAGCTGCATGGACCCTTTGGGCATTACTACACCATTCATGACCTGCATTTTGGGCAGCAAGGACACAAGGTATGCAAAGCTCTGTTCTAACACTGGTCATATGCAAAGTTTTCAATAAAGAGCCATCAGAGCATGGCCTAGTCTCATATTACTGGTGTCCCCACAGCTGTCTAGACCATTGATATGAAGGACTAGTGGGAGCCTGTAGCAGGACCTCCAGTGCCATGTTAAGGAAGAGCTCCTTTCTTCCTTCAGAAAAGAGCCTGGCACTTGGTCTCTGTGCCTTGCAGCTGTTCCCCCCACACAACAGCTGGTTCACAAATTGGCAATTATGATGAAGCCACAAGGTTGAGTAAAAGTCATTCAGCTCCTAGCCCAGACTGCACAGAGGCTGGTGAGAAGTGAAGGAGAGTTAATGTGTGGCATTTTCAATCAAGAAGTTTAACAATCACACAAGAAAAACTGAATCAGAGACAAGAAGGAAAGAAAAATCTCTCACACTATTAACACATAGAAAGAAGAAAATAGAGAGAAACTAGTTTCTTTATAAGTTGACACAGATGCCTGCTACAGGAGAGCACTAAAGAACTGTCTGTTCCTGAGGTTGGTGGAAGCAGTATCATCTTCTCCAACACTATGTCCTAGCCATCTGTTACATTCTATTCACACTTAAAGCACCAAATCCTAGTGTGAATTATCTTAGTTTTACAGAGCATAGTGAAAGTACGTAGAGCTCTACAGATGCTCAAATTCGTAAGTGGTCAAAGTCAGCCATGCAAAATTTTGATTTTTTCGTCCTTAGACCACTTTTTACAATACTGCTAAGATATAATGAAAATTGGTGCGTCTTTTCTTCTTTCAAATCACTGTCAAAAGACTAGTGGACTGAGTTTACCTGCTATGACCAAGCAACAGCCAATGACTTCCAGTCACCTACTTAGGTTGGTTTTCCTTTTTCTTACCTCCCCCCCACACACACATTTTTTTTTTTTGCCAGTCCTGGGGCTTGAAGTCTGGGCCTTGGTGCTATCCTGAGCTCCTTTTGCTCAAAGGTTAGCACACTATCACTTGAACCACAGCACTGGCTTTTTCTGTGATTAACTGAAGTCTCGAAGACTTCATGGTGGGCTTCAAATATCAGCCTCCTGAGTAGTCAGGATTACAGGCATGAACTACTGCTTCCTGGCCTAAATTACTTTTGGGGCCATAGGTCAGTGGTAGAACATTTGTTTAGCATATACTATGACCCTAGATTTAAGGGCCCTAGTACAAGATCAAAGAGATGATAGAGAAATTTCTTTTCTGAATACATCTCAGGTAAAATAAGAAATTAATAAAAGACAAAAGAGGCACTGTGGCTCAAGTGGTAGGGCACTAGCCTTGAGCTGAAGAGCTGAAGGATAGTGCCCAGGCCCAGAGTTCAGCTCCAACTGACAAAACACTATTATGATAATGGCCCCATAGAAATTTACTAGATTGCCAAAGAAATCCATAGCACAGAAGACCTACAAGGCTATTAATTTTTTAAACAACCCAGTGAATAGATACACATGTGGTTTTACTCTAAAATCTTATCAGTTAATTAGAAAAACTCCTACCATTTTTTTTACCTTTTAACAAATTTGAGGATAAACAGAATTGTCATCTACTCTTCAGACAATTCCCTACAACAGTTTTAATAGAAAAAAGTATTTAAAACATTTGTCAAATATCCTCTAACAACAGAAATATCTAGAACAACTGTCAAGCTTGATTGCTCACTGCAATGTCTATATTCACAGAATGCCAGTACTGGAAAGAACTGCAGAATTAGGCAGTCACATTTTCCACATAGAAAAGAGAAGGGCTAATTCTAGGTAAAGTTAGTAGGCCTCCCTACAGTGTGAGATTTCTAACTCCTGTCATTCATTCTCTCTGCTACCTCATGAGAACATTATTCTCTGGATCATTTTATCTCAACACATTTTAAAGGCATATGGGAGTCACCTGAACATTTAGTCTAAATAAAGCTTCCAATTGAGCAAGTGCAGGGATAGGATCTGAACTCCTTACTTGTAAGGAGTTGATCTTTGGGCTGCCATTTAGAGTAATGTGGCTCTAGATTTCTTTTCATACAGAAACCCTTGTCTATATTCTGAAAGCAAAATGGATAGTGATTTTTAAATCTTCTAGCTAGCTGGTTTGTCATGTAGACTCCAACTTTTATTTTTAATCATCAGTCCTTGGGTCTTGAACTTGGCATGGGCTCTGTCCCTGAACTTCTTTTTGCTTAAGGCTAGTGCTCTACCAATTGAGTCACAGCACCATTTCCAGCTTTTTATGAGTAGTTTATTGAAGATAAGAATCTCATTGTCTTTCCTGCCTAGACTGGCTTGGATCTGTGATCCTCATATCTCAGCCTCCTTGAGTAGCTAGGAAGCTAGCCACCATGACCTTGCTATACTCCAAACTTCACTGAATAAACTTACTACATACTGACAGCTTTCTGCAGATTCTGACAGAGCACAGGTCCCACATTCTCAAACTCTCAAATTCAAGCAGCTGTAGCAAAAATGTGTAGGCCCACAGCCTTTGTATTCCACTTGCTAACTTATTACACGTGACAGAGATAAGATAACCACAATAATCAATCAGCAGCACCCTATCAGCGGTTGGAAAGTGGAGTTAATTGCCCTTAGTAGCGTCCAAACATACAACTGGATAGCAACTCAATATCTATACACAAAATATATCTTGTAGTTCTTACAGTCTCTCCTTGATTAACACTCATAAAACTCCTCTGAATCCTCTTCTCAATGAGGACTTAACTTTTGGACTTCTGGGTCCATCATCTATGTACTATTCAATTTTCACCACAATCTTATCTGTTGGCTTAAACAGAATTAGAAGCTGGTTTAAATACAATTTTCTATCCTCAATTATCTGATTACCCCTAAATTCTGACTAGTTCTTCATGTGCCACCATTCCCGGTGGTGCCAGGTCACCTTAAACACCTTCCATTGGCAAGTATTCTGTTAGTACACTTGGCCAGAATCCCCCGAAGTAGTCCTTTGCTATGGTTAAGCTCTGAAATGCTCTCTAAAGATTCACGTGTTATGTGCCAATGTTGGAGGTAAGGCTTTGGAGAAATGATACTCTCATGGAGTATCAAGGGGAAATGGAAATTTAGGAGTGGGACCTTGGAGGGGGTCCTTGGAGGAAAATCTTGAGGGCTGTTATCTTTTTTTTTTAATTATCATTATTAGTTGTTTTTTTATTGTGAAAATACCGTATAGAGGGGTTACAATTACATGCAAGGTAATGAGTACATTTCTTATC